AATGAGTTTACCCTCTTGATGATTGAACAACAAAGAGGCAGGTTTTTATTTGGTTTTTGATGTGAAATGTCGACTTTAAAAGCCAGTTGTACTACTCCTACTTGTCGCTGTAGCTTTCAAGTTGTGTGCCTGGCAGGTGACTGTCATTGAGTCATTGGTACATATGTATCTGCAGGGCCTTTCCGGGTCTTTAATCTCTAAAAACAACTGGTAGAAATGACTATTTTTGTGTCTTTCTTTCTTTCCTTTTTTCTTATCACGAGTAGTGTCGTCATCCAGACCTGATGTGAACTCGCTGCAGAATGATTTAACGTGAACGAGCTGCTCTGTGAATTATTCCGGGAGGATCTTGACTCATTAAGGAGCTATCTTTGCTTTGGTCAGTCAATATTTAAATAGGATCGGCCCATTAGCCTGCTTGTTTGATATTGGTCTTCTGCCTGCTGGAGCGTTTATATTGGAACATTTAAGTCTGCTCTCTCATTAATGTGACTTTTTAGTCGCGCTAGCAGCAGGATTGAGACGGTCGTTAAGTTAGTCGGTCAGTTCACGACTTTGGTCCAGACTCCTGAAGAATCTTGACAGTTATGTTGTGCTTTGCAAAATATATCCGTAGTATTCTTTTGGTGATGCCCTATGGGATTATAAGTCTTTCATAATATCTCCAGAAATATCAGAAATATCTCCACATCTGCTTGAGGGGTTGCAAAAGAACAACAACTGGTGCAGCCATTGATTGTTCCAAGAAGATAAAACAGTCTAAATTTCGTAATCTCGACTGATACCTGAAATGTGAAATGTCTTCACAGCTGTGGAATGGACTGCACAAGAGATTTGTACTCATATCCATGTTCCCAATAGGATTATTGTTAAACTTTCCTGACATTTCATTTAGCTTAATTGGTGGGTCAGATGTTGCAACGCTTACAAGAGAAACCATAATCATGACCATGTTTAACATTTAAACAGCTACACACAAGTGTACTGACTTTAGCATTGAGCTCAAATACATTTAGTGCTTAGCCTACATCTTAGTTGAATTGCTAGTTTGGCTTTACACCTTATATGTCAGTAAGAAGACCTTGTTCTACAAAGATAGAAGGCACAATTATACTGGAAGGTTGCCACATAATAATAAGTGATGAATTTAATGCTGATAAAGAAAACATTCTCACAACAGCCGAGTAGAGAAGTTCACATGTTCATGAGTAATGTTGTACAGAACCAGAGGAGTGGACTGAGGGAACATGCTCTAATTCTGCATTTCAGGTGATTTTCTCCTTCCACCCTCATCTTCCTCTCTCTCGCTCTCTCTCTCTCTCTCTCTGGCTTCCTCTCTCTCTGGCTTTGTACAATCCAATGCACCAGCTACAGCCAAGCCTAAGCTGAAGGGACACTGAGCTGTATGTAAATCAATTTGGAACGCATCGGTATGTGGAAATAGAATTAGACATGTCAACCACACCTCTTTATTTCCTTCTCTCGTCTATATATTTCTCTCCCTCTGTGGTAGTCTGCTCCTTTTCAAGTTGGGCGTAAAGGGCCATAAGGAGCGGCTATAGGACGGCTTAGGGTTAGGCTTGTGGGGTAGAGGGGATTAAAAGAAATCACTGAAGTTAGCAGTCTTCAAAGGAAGCAGAAAGACAGCAAGAGGAGCCATATTTCTCTCAAATGGTTTCATGCTTGAGGGGCTTTGCGTAATGGGGAATTATTACATGAAGCATGGAGTTGCATATATGTAAATGAGCCTCCACACTTAAAGGAACATTGTACTCAGTGGATGCACAAGAAAATGATTGTGTAAAAAAATAAATAAAATAAAACTTATTGCTGTAAACAACGCGGAGCACATCAGGCTTCAGCATCATTGATTACACTGTGGTTGTCAGTGTCTGCATGATTTGATTTGTTCTTTTCAAGTAAAACTCATCACAACAGGTTCGGTTCTAAACAGTTCTATCTGCAATCAATTTCAGATACGACAGCCAGCTATATTTGACACTTTTATATGCAGCAGCAGAAGAAGAATAAGAGGTTATGTATGGTCCACTGTAATGTAATAATTTTTCTGCTGTGCTGTCTGTTTGGTCCCTGCATTGTGCTCCATATCTCTAGCAGCCATTGACTTTCTGCAGTGAAGGATAAACTGGATGTCCGCACTCCACTTATGTCAAGAAATGGAAAGGAAACAAAAAACATGAGACATCAGGCACTAGAGGTTCTTAGTGTTAACAAGTTCAACTTGAATTGTAAATTATGAACTATTTTCAAACACTCAAGAAAGTGTGGGGAGCCCTTCATCTCGCAATCAATAATTCAGACTGTAAATTAATTTTCAAAGAAATGTAATTTATTCTGAAGAGCAGTTTATAAATGGCTGAGATTATTTTTGAAGACGAACAACAGTACTGGCTGCCTCCCCAAGGTGCTATTAAAGAGGCCCTCATTCATCACAATTAACCTGGTCGACCATTAGTGAATCTTTAATTAGTTGTTAGGCTGTGCGTAATGAATCGCAACACACACTAAGGAGAAGTGAATCAATGGTTATTGACACAAGCAATTACAAGAGATTTATGTAACGTTTTGGTGGAAAAAAAGTTCAATGTGTCTGGTGCATTTGTTTGTATAATGCAGAATGATAGCAAAGGAGAACACTCTCGGTTCACAGGGTGCTACCACCTATGCTACAATTACAGTTGTAGAATAACTTGACAGTGTGGCCCTGAGACTATCATCTTCCTCTGCTGGATTGAAAAGAAAGTCACATTGCACATCCATCACAAGCTCAACAATTCTGTTCCAATCAGAAGATCTGTCAGCTGTCGTTTTGAACATACTTGAAGGAAATTGAATCAGCATTTGGAGAATACACACTGGGTTTGTGGCGAGAAATGAGGCAAATTTTAGACCAATTCTCAATCCCAATGTTGGTGCGATTTCATTGGTGGCATGCTTCCCTTTATAAAAATGGTAATGTAGGTGGGTAGCTGTTGCTAGGAAAGGAAGGTGTAAGGTCTGAAGTATTCAGAAAGAAATGTTCTTGTGGAAAAACATGAGGACATGCCTTAGGTGCAGTGAGTAAAAAGCCTCTACGGCTGCTCAATAAAATGTGAAATTTTAACCTATTTTTCAATGTGCTCTGGAGAAACTCAAATCAAGGTTTTTAAAGGGGTGTTGTCGGCTCAACAGCTCAGATTTATTCTGTGACAATAAAATGGCAAAGAGGGAAGGATAAAAAGGCGGGGCAGAAATGGCAACCAAGAGCATCTGATCATCAGCTGTAAGATACGATATCCCACAACCACAGAGCTGGAAGGTAACCAGCGAGGGCGGAGGGAACTCTCCTCAAACCCACTGTAAACATTCACAGCCCTCATAACCTCTGTGTAATCTTGCCAAAAGAAGTTGATTACAGGCGGAGTCCATCGTGTAAAACCTGCAGCTTTAATACAGTGTGTATCATAATACATGGGGCCAGGCTGGCTCGCTCAAAGAACCGCACGAGAGCATTTGCATGGAATTAACGCTCACATGACACAGATTCCTTCTTCACTGCCACATCGTGAAGTACAGCATTTAGACTTTGCCCTCCTTTCTCCACATTTTTCAGTGTAATTTTTAAACAATGTGTTTGCTTGGTATGAAGATTTTGGAATTTGTTTTTAAGCAAATCCTTCCTTCTGATGTGTAACCCATTTGTAATGAGACATACCGAGCTCAAGTCATTACATGCTGCTGGCTGATCAGATTTGATTTAGAGCTCGCTAATGACATGATAAGGCACATTACAGCGATAATGCATTTTTAACAAAGTTAAAGTCAGTCAGGCATCATCCATGGAGGATCGATTTTCAAAACCGGTCAAAAAAAATGTCCCTAAAACATGCTGAAAGAATCTTAGTATAGTCCCTCATTACGGTTGAATTGTGTGTGTTTTTGTGGTTTGTGATCCATGCAGGCTGTGTGAGATGGCAGAGCTATTTGGGATGTGAATGATTTCCACTGACTTGGACAAGCACTGGATTACCGTTTTCAAACGAAAACCTCTCTCTGTCATTTTGACTCCCCTCTTTTTTAGAGAAAAAAAAATGACCTATTCTTAAAGTTTTAGTTTTGACAGTTTGTTTTCCTTTAGAAATGTTTTGTACTTAGCCTACGGATTCAAAGTGACACTTTTTTCATCCTATTTACCTTTTGACTCTGCTATTGGGAAGGGTTTTTGTGTATTTCACACAGTCATTTTTCAGTACCTGTCATACACAAAGTTTTTTTTCTGAGAATTTGTCCCTTTTTTGTTCATTCCATTTGCTGGTACCTTGTGACTTTCTGGTCCTCTCTCTCTTCTCTGGCACACACATGCACACAGACATAGACACACACACACACACACACACACACACACACACACACACACACACACACATCCTGAGATCATATTGCCTGATGTCAGGGTAATTATGCAGCTGCAAAAGATGGGTGTTCCTGCTGCTCCTTTGCCAGTGCTTGGGGTGGGGCTCACTGTGTCCATCTGCTCATGGCTTTAGGAAGAAAAAGCATACACAAACTGAGAGTTTAAAATATCTCACACACACACACACACACACACACACACACACACACACACACACACACACACACACACACACACACACACACACACACACACACACACACACAAATGCACAGAACACACACGTACTATATAATTACCTCAGCAGGGACTCTACTCAGTCATGCAAGATGCCAGGGGATTTAAGGACATGTACAAATCACGTTATAAATTCACAGAAAATCATGTCCCTCCTAGCCTCAGAAATCTCCCAAATCCTTATAAGCAACACTGAATCTACACAAAATACCAAACCAAGTCTCCACTTTTCTTGGCACGATTCTTAACAGACTTGTTCAAATCAATTTCTATTAACAATGCTGGGAAAAAAATACCTGGATGTTTAATGTGTCTATTTCTTCCTGTTTTGTTTCTGTTCTTTTCATAGGGGTCTTTTTGCAAGCCATTACACTGAGACACATTACCAGGAGGATGGAAGTGCAGTCATCGGTTCTCACAAAACAACGGTACAGTGACACTCAAACGCTTTTGACATTTATGGACGAGAGTGGACATGCAGTGTTGCTCCACTGGCACACTGTCAAAAATTCACTGACAAAGATATTGTTTGTTTTTGTTTTTTTACTGATAGCACATTATTTTTAAAGTACAATTAATTAATGCATTAGATAAAAAATGCATTTTGGATTGAATTAAGACTGTTTTAATTGTCTTCCCCGTCATCACAACATGACACAGTGTGTGTATATGAAAGCGTCTGGTAGTTTCTGAACACTGAGTCTGTCCTGTGGCCTACTTGATGATAAGCTGTGTTTTATGCTGGATGTTTTTCAGCCAACTCTGCCAACAGGGTTTTTATTTTGGAATCCCGTATTAGCAGCTGATCTATTCCAGACTATTTATTTTTTTGGTGTGTTGGCTGAGTAGAGAAAAGTGGCTGCACCTCTTTTAAAAATGAAGAGAAGATTGATGATCATTTAGAGTTTCAAATCAAGAAGTCTCTGTGGCAATTGTCTTGTTGAAATGAGTTTGTGGAGATGAAAAACAAACAAACAGGGACACTGATTCTTCAATCTATGATGTAGGTGTTTTCATTTTAAATAAGGTAGAAAGAGTAGTTTCCCTTCTTATCTACAGGTTTTCATTTTCAGCTGCCGTTGTTAAAGTTCCAAAAAAATACTTTAAAACAACAATTCTAATTCTGCTTTAAAAAAAATACTTAACAGTGCCTTCCTTGATTGAGGCTAAGTTGGATGGAAATCCTTGTTTAATAGAGCTACTGTGAGACAGTTTGACAGTTTGACAGGTTGCTTGATGCTCAGAGGGGGAATGTTTGGTAATTGTGTGTTGACTGACAAGTCTATTTACTGCATAGCTATGCAAACAGCTTTCCCCCATCTCTCTCTCATACACACACCTTTTAATTTTAAGTGGGCGGAAGTTACAAGCATTGCATCAGGCTGTCAAATAGATGCACTGTATTGTCTTAGATAAGCCTCAAACAGCTGCACGCCTTCAGTACCTGCTGTCACTGAACTCAGACATACGGTTATCAGGCATCAGAGGAATGACAAGGACTGTAAAATAAACTCTGGCATCCTCTGAGTTATACGCTAAAACACCACGATCTGACGGAAATAAATCACGTTTTTTCCTGCTGCTGGTCCAGCACACAATTCAACACCTATGATAATGAACCTGCACCGTTAAACAAGACATAAATGAATCCCTGTAGAAGTAGGAGTTGTGTCGGATCAGCCATTAAAAGCTCACGCTGTGCAAATATTTTTGTCACACATAGCACCTTATTTAGAGCAACAATAGGTAGGAAATTAGTTTGATGCACTTTGGCGCCCCAAGACATTGCAAGAAGCTGATCAACCTGACTCTGCAAGCATCTTCAGCCCCTTGTTGCAAACTCTTTGCATAGAGTATGTGGATGTGTATTCAGCTGTTGCCATGGTATCTATGCGCTGTGGCCAAAATCGCTATATCGGAGAGTGTCATTTGTTACATGCTAATTGAGGTACGTTTGTAGGTTACCACACTTATAAAGCTTATTTGAAAATCGACAAGGAAAAAGAAACCCCTTTGGCGTGGTATGGATTTATTTATTTGTATGCAAACCTGAGACATAAATTGGGCTCAGTGACTTTCTGCCCCTGTTAACGCTGCTCAACACAAGACAGTGAAGACACGGATAACAATACGGCCTTGCATTACGTTAAAATCTGTTCTGAATAATAATATATTCAGGCTTGCACATGCTTCTTGCTCGGTCACTTTCACTTTTTCTCTTTTAGCTTCATCCCTCACCAACCTCTTCCTCTTACCCTCAGTCATTATATAAAAGCAATCCAAGTTTCATACTGCAGTAAACAGGCGATCAGGCCGTGCTGTGGGCACGGGAGGGACGCCATTCTCCTTATTGAAAGTTATTGTGCTATTAAATGGACCTTTAAAAATACTGTTTTAAGGTAGAACGTTGCATACTGTTGCTTTAAATATTTAGTTATATAGTACAACCCAAAATTTCAAAATTTGATCGTCTGATTCTTTGGAAAATAAAAATAGGTAACATATGTAGTAAATGTTTCTTCACTGAACAGTAAGAACAATATTACTACTGTCTCACATTCACAAAAAAGATGAACTGCTCCCTTCAAGACACCTAGGGGGAAATAAAACTAAAACAACTGCAGAATGCAGGGTACACCATGTATTCCATCTCTGTTCTGCTTTTGTGTAGCTTCAGGAAAATCCTCTAAAAATAATCTTATGACTTAATAATCCACTTGCTTTAAAATCACAGACATATTGAGGATAACCGAGGGAGACAATCACTATTGCTGCCTGATGTTTTCTTGAAAGAAAGGTGAAGTAATCTAGGTCAGGCATAGCCTCAGCACAGAGCCTTTGTAGCCGCTCTATTTTTAAACATAATGTAATGGGCCACAATTTCATCACCACCTGGCTCAGTCTTTCTACTGTAATTGTCAAACAGAAGAGCGAAGAATCAAAAGGCTTTTTTCATTGCATGAATCATAACCCAAATCTCACCCCAAAGTATTTCCTCCTGCGTTTCAGTATTGGGGATGAGAAATGGTCTGCTTAGTGACAAATGACAGTTGATTTAAGAGGAATTGAATACTTCCAAACAGTGAATGGAGACCTGTGTCCCTCCTGAAGACGGTGACTTCCTCTGCTCTCCTTGCATTCAGACAAAGTCGTTTTCATTGTGTCTGAGGAGCCTTAAATGCCCTCTTTTCTTTCTACCAGACCTCTCTAGTGGAATGATAAAAGAAAGACAATTACTATATTACTGTCAACTCCCATCTGTGTCGTTTCTTCTCCTTCTTTTTTTTCCCCAGCATTGTCTGTTTCATAAAGACTACTTTGTGCAGAAGTGATGAAAGGAAAGACAGTTCCACTGTATCTTGTCCTCTTTTGATTGCAGATTGTTAAAGCTCTTGGAAAGCAACATAAAGAAGATGAAAAAAAATCAGTCAGCAAAATTTTTTTATTGCAAAATGATGTGAAACAAATTCACAGAGAAACGTAAAGTTGTGGCTGATACCATGTTGCTGATCTTGGCTGCAGTGTGTGTGAGAGAGAACTTAACCCACCCAAGCCTTTGTAAGCCCACAGGAGCTAGTGATCAGAGGTTGATGGTGGTATGGAAGTCAGGTAGTGCCTCATAAAAAAAACAAATAACTCTTTATCTCTTTTAGGACAACTGCTACTACCATGGCGAAGTGCAGGCGCATCCAGACTCTGATGTCTCCCTCAGCACCTGCTCAGGCCTTCGGTAGGAATCACGATCATCACTCATTTTGTATTCTAGCAGCATCTCAGCACTGCCCTTTAAGTGCTATTTGCCACTGCAATGTTTATATTTACTTATAGTCATTCGGCAGAGCGGCCCATCCCTCCTAAGCCCCTTAAGTGCGCTGTCAGTGAGTTGATGTGTGACCCGCAGGAATAGTGGAAAATGTCATGCCTCGTTTTCTTTGTCCACGGAGACGTCCAGTAAATATTTGCTCTCATTTTGGCAGTAATTGGCATCCAGTTGTTGCTAATGAACGACCACAGTTCGAAGATTTGGGATTTGGGCATCAGCAACAAAGTCTTGAAATACTCACCGTTATCCTCTGCTTAAGTAAACAACATTTTTTGGAGGCATGTGCAATGTTGACCTTTTAATCAAGTCAATAACGGCTTATGATAAGGAAAACTTTCTGTAGATTTGGGTTAAATATTATTGATCTGAAGCATGGGATGTGATGATTTTGATGTTAATCTACATAAAGAAAGTGGTTCATAAAAATTCTGTACTCATTTGTGAATTCTGCAGAGAGCTTTGTTGGATAGAGCTAAGATAAGTTTTACCCTAACAATGCCAGTGATAAAAGCTACTGTATGGCTTGGCCCTGTTGCCAAAAAAATAAATAGTTTTGTTTCATTTGGCTTCAATTAAATTGGTCAAGTGGAGAAAAGGGCCCTTCCTCAGTTGTCACATATTCCAATAGAGAGAGCCACAATTGATCAAATTCTACATTGGAGAGATTGGTTACGCTTTGAGGCTTTGTTTTCAGATTTGCGCTTCTGTCTGTGCAGAGGCTTCATCGCACTTGAGAACAGAACATTCATCATTGAGCCGGTGTCTGGCAATGACAACTGTGCTCACTTCATCTACCACGGGGAAGAACTCAGACTGACCCCAGGAGCCTGCGGCCACGGCTTCAATATGTCCTCAATTGCCCCAGAAAACCACATCAAAAGTCCCTTCCAATCTTTTCACTCCAGGGTGAGAGCAGTATCATTTTGTTTTCTTTCATCACAAATCTTGTTTTTAAAGCCAATGGATATTACAGTTCAAAGCTAAATGTTGTTCTCTTTTAGTTTAATTGACAAACGCTCCTGAAGAGAATCACTTTCATTCACTTTATGAAAGATGAATTGGCATTTGACCAAAGATCAGCAAATTGGCAAGCTGACCAAATTGGATAGGTTCCCAGAGGATGATGCCTTGGGCTTGACACATTTTATCTGCATTTGAGCCCAAAGGCGAGGGCCCATGCAGGTTTGGCCAATCATTTACATGGAACAGGTGCAGCATCCATCTGCCGCTATTCCCAAGCATTAAAAAACTTCATATGAGTCAGGAAGTGGAAGCTACCAGCATACAGTACTTAATGACCCCTGAGTAATTTTGGGGCTTTGCATTTTTTAGAAGAGCATTAGTTCTGCCTAGGCTGGTAGCAGTTAGCTTTATTTAAGCAGATTGTATGATTTTTTTCAACTTCCTTTTTGTTGTTGTTGCAAAAATTAAATATGAAGCTACCACTAGAATTTTAACGAGGGTGTAAATCAGTGTAGTGATACAACAGAAAACTCAAAGTACTTGGTCTTTTTCGATTCTCTGATTTTTTTGAAATTTTCAAAATCCAAAACAAAAAACACCAACCAGAATTTATAAATATTTTTTTATTATATACAAAAGTTAACGTCTTACAATGAAATGATGTACAGTAGTTAATCCAGGGGTCATGTTAGTTCATAAAGCCAAGACTTAGTTGGCAACTACATCATTTACGATTTATCTTATCAAGCTCTCGTTAAGAGACCAAACATGTGTAGTGCAGGTTTATCTTAGGGCTTTCAAGAAGGGTCCACAGAGAGGAATACATTTGTGTGTCACGGTTTATTGTCCCAGGATAAAGTTTACTCAAAAAGTGGACTCATCCGTTGGAGGATCAACTGAAAAAAAAAAAAAAGCTGTTTTAAATATTTTGGAGCAAATCTCATTTGCGGCATCTCTGTTTTATCTTCAGCATAAAAGGCATGCCCAGAAGACAACCAAGTATGTCGAGCTGATCATTGTTGCAGACAACAGAGAGGTAATGCACCACAAATGCACTGCTACACCAAACAAACAAAAAAAACACACACTGAAACAACAGCAGCCCTTCATGGTTTAGCAGGGTAAGCTGTAGTAACAGTAAAGCCTGTCCCAATGGAGCTGCAGAATTAGGTCAGTGTGCAACAAGCACTGTGGTCTTGTGGCAGAGGCTAGGTTTTGACGGGAAGTGCTGAATGATTCCCCAGCGGAGCAGACAGGAAACAGGAAAAAGCCGTGTGGATACAGAAGAGTCTCCTGTAGCACTGACAAGCTCATGGGGGGGGGGGGGGTGTTTCCTCCTGGCAGTGCGCTGCTAATACCAGCGAAACTGAGTGGAAGGAAAGGAAATGGTGGGAAGAATAAGAGATCCCAAATGTTGTCAGGCTCAAGCACCAATGCAGGTGGAGGCAGTAGTAGGATGGAACAAGTGGGTCTGACTTTGCTGCAGTTTGGATCCAGAACTTTACCGGCTGTCAGATCTGCCAATATAGACTCTTCCTGCAGCCATGCCATGTGTCTCTCTAACACTAGGAGGTTTTTCTGTATCCAGATGGTCACAGCTTGACAAGCTGCCTAACACACAGTAAAACATATTGCCTTTCTGGGTGTTCTGTGTTGTTTTATGCTGTTTAGTTCTGGAAAAGACTGCTTACAGTATCATTTAGGTCTTCATGCAACACAGCTATGTGTCAGCGTGCTTCCATCACCACCACTGTTAACATGTCGTTTTCTTTTCAGTTTCAGAAACAGGGGAGGGATGTGGAGAAGGTGAAACAGAGACTGGCAGAGATAGCCAATTATGTGGACAAGGTAAAACATCCTCTCCTCTCAGCGCAGGAGGGATAAATCACTTTTTTAAAATAGAAATATAGCTGGCAGCAGAGATTAATGGGATGACTGTGTGATAAATTAATGTCCTGCTCAAACAGCTGCTTTTAGTCCGTCTCAAACCTCTGCCAGGGTTGAGGATCTATTGCTAGCAGATATATATAGGCAGATGGATTTATACAAGAAAAACATGGATGGCGATATGAAGAGCACATGCTGTGATCATGTTAAAAACATGATTCTTGTGCACGGAGAGGTTTTAAAGCTGCCAGGGTTAAAATAAATGTAATATGTACAGTGAATTAAGTTAACGAAGGTAAAATGCTATAATACTGCCATACGCATCTGTTCAGTCATTCATGTTATCTAGGCTCCATTAATCCTTTATATCCTCTTTACTCTCTGCCTATCCACATGCTGCCGTTCAGTTCTACAGGGCCCTGGATATCCGAGTGGCTCTCGTGGGTCTGGAGGTATGGAGTGACTCTGATAAATGTCCCATCACCCAGGATCCTTTCACCACCCTGCACGAGTTCCTGGACTGGAGGAAAGTCAAGCTGCTGCCTCAGAGACCTCATGATAACGCTCAGCTCATAAGGTGGAAATTTAATTAAAAAATGAACACATTAACATACTTATTTGTTTGGACAGATCCTAAAATCACCATTCAAAATCAGTTGTACTTAGCATTTGTGCTCATTTTAGATTCATACTTGGTTCCCTTTGCATCTAACTGCCATCATTTCATATATGTATAGAAAATTGAGGTTTATATATTACTCTTACAGTATAATCAACTTGTGTTAAAATCTACATCACATACAGTAGAAAGCCCTGCCCAACATCACTATTACACAATCATTGAAAACCAAACCTTTCACACTGACAATAAACCATGACAAAAAAAAACAACTCTCAGCATATTTTCAATGTGTATTCCCTTTTTAAGCCTGCCTCCCTTTGGGTGAAGAAGTAAAAAAAAAAAAAAGTCACTAACAGCTTCTCAACTTGCTGTCTGATACCTCTTCCTGATACTTGATGGGATTTATATTTTTGAATGCAGATTATGTAGTTGTTTGATGTTAAACTATTGCTCTTTTTAAACAAAGAGCATACAAAACATTTCAAACCTTGCTGAGAAAATGAATTTAAACATCATTGATGCTTTGGAATACTAGCTTAAGTTATGAGTTAAAATCAAGACCAGACCTCCTCTTGTCCTCTCTGCAGTGGGGTCTACTTCCAGGGCACCACCATTGGCATGGCGCCAATTATGAGCATGTGCACAGTTGAGCAGTCTGGAGGCATTGTCATGGTGAGTATAAAACCTTCTGGCTTCTCCCACCGTTCCTCCACCCTTCTTCTTCCTCTGTGTAGCTTGATCCTATCAGTGTGGACATTGTTCTGAGTTGAGGGGCGAACACAAATCCAGGTGTGATTTACACAGAAAAGGTGTTCAATGTTTTACGGATAGGTCTGGCAGGAAGTCGTGCTTTTAACCTCAGTGATATCTGTGCTGACACTCCCTCGCCCTCACCATTAACACCATTTTGCACACTAATTTAACTTGATTCATTGTTTATAACATTTGTATCAAAATGCCCCAAAAATGTCCTATGCCCTAATACATTTTTACGCATCGTAAATTAGCTGCCTGCCAAATCACTAAGTGGTTATCAGCCCAATGCTATTACACCCTGGCCCAGATGTGCATCCCCCATTAACAGATATGTTTTCTGCTGGCTGTGGCAGTGCTGAGGCTTCTCCAGATGTTTGTCTTCCCCATTATTTACAGATGGCAGATGGTTTGGACTGAGATTAAAGGGCTGTGTAACCAGTTAGAGGGCGGCCATATGACATGAGCCATTTCTCAAACCAGACACTACCATGTGTGTTAATCAGGCTCAAATCCTTTATGTGGTCTGCATGTTTTTTGTCTGTTTATATTAAAAATGATTCCATCTTCTTTTATATTTGCTGACATGAGACTTTATATGTGAATGGTTTGGATTAAACCGGGCCAATGTCTTTTATAAGATTTTCTTTTGTGGGAGTTCTTTTCTCACATGGCTGGAAATGATATCAGAAGGACTATCAGAGCATTTCCTGTGACCAACACTATCAATTTCTTACTATCACAGCAGCAGCTCCTAGCTGCTTCAGAGTAATGACTGTGGCTTCCAACAGTTTCATCCATTTCTGCTGACTCTGATATTACCCTTTGTTGTGTGGAAGCAGTCAACCAAAAATGGCACACGGAGAGAGAGAGAGACGCTGATAAACATGACAGAGGAAGAGGGGAGTTTTCCCATCTTTCTTGTTAAAAGGCGGGGAGTATTCCCCCTGACGCTCCTCTGTAATCAGAGAAAATAACTTGGCCTGGCCTCAACTCCAACTTATGACCCCCCTTCATTGGAAGCATGTGATTTTCTCATGTACATGGTGGAGAACATAAGACCACAGTAAGATAAACAATAGCTATGTGGGCAAACTCTTTCTCTGGGATTTCCAGATTTGAGATACTTTACAAAGAGTTTAATACAATTCAGACCGTTGTACAGTTTTTTATTGGTCATTAAGCTGGAACTTGATTTTCCCGGCTGCATGTTGGCAGATATTTGTAATGGGCATTCAGTCTCATAATTTATTGTGTTTCGAGGTGAGTTATTGTAGACTCATTCATGGCTCACAGTTACTCAATAATACTTTTCTCTGTGAAACCTGCAGATGTGTTAAGTTTATCTTTGAATAAACATAACCACAGTATTAATAATTTACCAGGACGGACATGACGTGAATGTAGATCTATACTAAAATAAGGAGTGGGGGAAATGACTGCAATGAAAGGAACAGTCCAAGGTTTTGGGGAATTTTTCTTTTCTGGGGGAAAACCAGTTGAGGATAATAATACAACCATATCAGTAAAATATAAAACAAGTAGGCACTAAACAGCTAGCATAGCTGGGTTCTTAACATAAGCAGATCCACGTCCATCTATAATGCTCTGTAAATGTATTAGCTTGATCATTGCTTTGTCATGGGTTAAGTCCTGGACTAATTTCTTCCTACCTTCTCGTCTCATGACTAGTCAACTGCCACCTAAAAAAAAATAGTCCTTAATTCCCTAAAAGGGAGTCCAGTATTATGTGACGATAGAGTGTATCGTATCGCATCGTATCGTATTGTACATTACTTGCCCTACATTAATAAGTGGGCTTTAAAAGGGGTTGGTGGGTAAACATGGATGCATTAGGCTTGCTGTTTTTTCAATATAAATGTGAGAGATGATGCAAGAGCCATAAAATGTGTTGATTGCCGAGTGTTTCTCTGTTATGTAACATTAGTAAAAAAAAATATCGTTTGTAAAAGCTGAGTCTTGTAGCTGTGCACCTTTAATCACAAGTTGATTCAAATATAATGAGAAAATGATCGTTTCGTCACAGCATGATGTAACTGAAGGTGGATAGGATTTGGTCATTCTGTCAGTTACCTTCCAAACGTCCCCATTCTTTACTGACCTCCTCCCAGTACCCCTCTCAAACTGTCTATCTACCAAACATGGGGAAACTGAATCTTCCACCTCTCTCACTCATTCTCCATCGCTCTCTGCCTCGTGAAGGGCAGCTGTCCTGCTTATCAATTCAGTGGCGAGTCATACGGCGCCTGGTTTATGGAGCTTGTTTCCCCTAGCAGCAGGTATGATTGGGTCTGCAGGGGTAATAGAATGGCAGATGAATTCAGGTCTCCATGAGGAGAATGAGTAATGGAAGAGGGATGAGGAGGCATATTGGATGGTTTTGGGAATCTGTTAAAATGTGATTTCAGCGTTATCCTTTTACTCGATTTCGAGGGGTATTTTTTGAGTGACAGTGACATTACTTTTTTTTTATTTTGGAATGCTTGCTCAAGTAAATTTGATTAAACTTCACACAAGGTTAAACACTTCATATGTTCTAATGTACTGGGATCCATTCCAGGATCACTCTGAGAACCCACTGGGTGCAGCCGTGACTTTGGCACACGAGCTTGGACACAATTTTGGCATGAACCACGACACCCCAGAGCGCGGCTGTGGCTGTAGGATGACCGCTGATCGGGGAGGCTGCATCATGACCCCCTCCACAGGGTAAGATAATGATGATCTTTTATACAAAAAAATTAATGGATGGATAAATGTTGGTTCCAACAGGTTGTGTAGAAAGGTCAAGATGAATGTGTCATGAATGTTGTTGCTGTAATTGAAGTAAAACTAAACTAAATCATCACATATCATCACTTCATCATATCCCTGATAATGTCCACTGCATGTTTTCATCATTTCACTGCTATTTATTTGATAAGATAAAACATTTTAAATAAATGATAAAACACATCTTAATTTGTGAACGTTGGCAGTTAACTCTTAACTGGTAACAAAGTTGGTAAAATCAGTACTTCCCATTGTATTTCGTCTATTGAGCTGCCCATTATCAGTGGTTATAACTAGCCTTGGATGCTTCAAAGAAGACAAACAGCACCTAACAAAAATGCAGGAGGTACATAATCAACAATTATCATCAGCAAGTCTGCAGAATTAGCAGTGATGACGGTCGCAACGTTACAAGGGTTTCAAATGTAATGGTATAAGCTCGATCATAAGCCCCTTTTAGATTGTTATTCAACAAAGGGCAGGGTACAACTTGTTATTTACGCATTGCATCTGCAAGAGCTTAATATTGGTGTCACAGTGTGTGATGTCAAATTGTGCTAAGGCATTGCAGAAGCACAAGGCCATCGTGTAAACAAACAGTAGGAGCTTCATATACACACAGCACTCTTGCGTCCTGCTGGCTCCAAAGTTACACATTGCTACCTTCTCGCCTATGTGACACCTCTGTTGCTACCTCTGATGGCAGAACAGGGACAGAACAACTTCGCCCCGCCATTCTGCTCCGAACTATATAATTAGAAGACGATATGTACCGTCGACCTAAATATCCTTCCCTTAACTGGCAACATTTATGAAGCTATAGGGGTGACTTCAGGGTTTACTTCTTTTTCTCTATGCTAAGGCTGTTTAAACATCTCATTGTAAAGGTCATAAAGATCATAAAGATTGATTAAGCTCCACTAGTTGCGCATTTTTACATGACTCTCCATTGTTTGCACTTTGGCCTGAGACGAAAGCAGCTGCTCTAGCATTCTGCTCGTGTCGCCTGTGTCGCTGAGATAACAGTGCTGCTGCAAATGATGGACTCTGTGACTGTTAACAAACAGCAAGGAGATAAGGCCAACACAGAACGCAATCCCAGATTCCACCCTTGGTCTCTTGCCAGTCTGGTTTGTCTGATGGTGGGACCCACAAACCACAAATGAATTGGTCAGGATGAATTTTGAAACACTGTGAAGAAGACAAAAACAAAAGACTAAAGGACATTGTCACATATTGTTACCATTTCAGAGTACAAATAAACTTAGGATCCACTCACACAAACCCACCCACCCCACCATACTAAGCCTAACATGTTAATGGGAATTTGTCCAATTTTGAGAACACAGGCAGAAAGTTTGCCAGATGTTTAAAACAATTCTGGTTGAGCCAAGAGTAGTTTGCTGTAGCAGTTCATGTTTGGGGCGTGCCATTACATCCTCCAGCCAGTGTTTATGACATGGTGGTGAGGTCTTTTTCCACTTGAAGAGAATCAGTCACCAGGCAAAGTGTAGACGACCCACAACTGTGACTTGGTTAGCGGGAAGCTTGACTGTCTTAAGGGATACGATCAAAAATCTCTGTTCATAAATCTTTTTGCAGACAAGTCAAAAGCATATGGTCGCCCACATCTTAAACAGTTCTCATCTACTCGGGGAAAAAGCTGACAATTTGCTGTTGGTTTGACGGAACATGTGCAGTACTTTAAACCGTTGTACCCTGTCCCTGATGCATATTTATGAGGAATGAGTTATGAGTTGACAAATGACTTTGCCAGGACTTTTCCAACACATGTGAGTCCAGCTCCCCTTTGCTTTGCATCTAAACGTGATCTAAGGAAGGAGCTGTGACTGCATGGATAAAACACACAGCGACAAAAGCGAGGAAACAGTAATTTTGTTGAACAAACAGATGGGATTGGGTAAAGAAAAACATTCTATTCAGGACTACTGAGAAGCTTAGAATTTAAGTTTAGAGCAGAAACAGTAGAATCTCCCAAAAAGTCCCTGTGGGTGTTTGATTTTACTTGCTCCTTTTTGTGCCTATCTTTGTCAAACACTGACATTAAAAGTAGATAAAGGCTCCCATATTGCTCAAAGATCAGCAGAGACTCGGATGAAGAAAATTGCAAGTACATGTTCCAAAATGCCACAAATTCTGCCAGAAAACACATGAATAAAATAACTCGAGCACCAGAATTGTCCCAGAAAAACTTGAATGACCTTTTTCTTTACAAATAGAAAAGAGGAAGAAATGTGGGCTGTTAAAAAACTGTGTTTGTTTGTGCAGCCGCTTGCAACACTGAGCTCATCCTGCTGTTCCCATACTCCAGCATTTATGTCAGACAAAGAAAGTGTAACGCACACGGAGCAATTCTGGATTCATGTGGTGCAGATTTTAAATTAGCACACAGTGTACCAACATGAATACTTTGCCCTGACTCGTCATTGGCCAAAGATATCCAATGATGTCAGGCAGAGAATTTAGAAGCGTGACTGTTATGATCTAAATGAGTTACAATGACTCACTGTGTTATTAAATTTTTTAATAGGTTTAATGAAGCCCAGACGCTCCTATTCAGCACTCTTTGCTACATAATTATAAGATAAGAAGCATTAGTAGTTGAGAGAGGAGAGGATCAGTGACCTTTCATTCTGAAATTGCTGCTCTGTTTGCTAAGTGAAGTGTGTAGGATAAATCAATGAACAGTGGTATGTTGACATTTTGCATTGTTGGTTTGATTCACTGACTCCATGTATCAATGTTGTGCTTTTTGGTTATCCATATTTCATTGCATTCACCATTGTTCAGCCAGTGTGCTCTGTATCTTTGTTGTCATCGGAAAAGAATACAACACATAATGGAGATCATTGATTTTTATGATGTCTGATCAATCAAACAAGTCTTAGATTAAGTTTATCTTACTACCTTCTTATACTGATACTGTGTCCAGAGGTAGAGTGATTATGCCTCAAAGTTACAATCCAACAGTACATCATCCAGCTCAATAGTTTCCGCCAGCCAAAATGTATTTGTTTCAAATACAATTTAGGGTACAGTCACAGAAAAAGTTTGTATGTAGCTACTTCAATTTTGCAGAACAGGTGTTAATACATAATTATTACATTTTAAATGTACAACTTTCGGGGCGCTGGATAGCCAAGCAGTTGGCTATGTTGCGCGCCCCATGTATGGAGGCTATAAATCTCTTCGGCAGTGGGTTTAAATCCAACCTCTGCCCTTTACTGAATGTTATCCCCTCTCTCCTGATAAAAATGTCCTGTCTCTTTTCAGCTGTCGTATCTAATAAGGTCAAAATGGTCCAAAGATATTCTGTTGGCAAAACCAATAATTGCATCTACCAATCTTGAACTCTTCTCCCTCACCACCTTATTAAGAACCTGCTTGAATGTTAAAGCAGTGTAGCTTGTTTGACTGTGTATTTGGGTTTCTCTCACTTGCTAATGAAGCAAAGGACAGCCTGCATCTAAATGACGTGATTATCAGTGACGCTGCCAGCTGCAATCAGGGCCAGAACGCGCACACACAGGGATCCGTGGAGAGGAGCTTTCTGCCTGGATAGACAGGCATAGCGAGGAAGCAGTGCGTTTATTTGTGTTTATCTCCCTCAGTGGTAGAGCAGAAAGAGAAACAAATAAAAGAGATGGAGGTGAGAGTGAGAGACAAGCAGGAGAAAGATTACAGTGAATGAATTATTCGGCTACACATGACAAGCATGTGAGCCATGAAGACCAGCCAAGAGAGATTTGTGTCGTGACAATGAGCAGAAATATGAGGGACAGAGGAGAAGAACAGAGGTTTGCAAGGACATTTTGAAGTGGGGATTTCTATCAGAAGTTGAGCTAACGCTTGCTCATATGTAGGTGGGGAAAAGGCTCAGTGAAATAACTTTCAAAGTGCTTTCCTGTGTCTGTGTGATACTGGGTGGAAAGATGATGCCCAGCGGGTAGCTTTGGCTGGACTTTTAAGGCCAAGAGGTCAACGCAATGCGAGGTAGCATGTGAGTCTTGTTATTTTCTTGTCAAAATGACAGAGTGTAAGTAAGGTGAAAGGTGCAAAAATGTCATTATCTAAAGATATTCTGCAGAGGAAAGGAGCGAGGAAAGCTAGTTTGCTTGCCCCTGGGTAAATGTTTGCAGAATTTAAAAAAAAAAAAAAAATGTTCTGCCAGTATTAAAGCTCTGCATTTCCACAAAGGTCAGACGTGTCTCTCCTGCTTAGCTTGAACTAAATGCATGTCAGTCTGTAGTGCAGCTCAGACTCAGAGAGAGACACCTCGATGTCAGTCAGAGAGCCCACCTATGGGAGATCCTTTTATAGTCAACATGTGACCAATGTCTCAACTGTCTGCAGACCCATCTCCCTCTCCCTTCAGACTTATATTTCCTCCTCTGATCTCACTTCCCTCACATGCTGAGATGATCAAACTGACAGGAATCATTTGCACTGCCTGCACATATGGCTGTAGATCCAGGAAAAGCATCTTTGTACACGAGATACAGTATCCCAGCATCTCAGTACATTGTAACAGCTCAGGTTAAAGGCACAAGATCATCTTGCAAGATGCAAAATGTTGCCTATTTTCTCTCAGCCTTAGTAGGTTTGTGTTTTAATTTGTATTTCAGCGATTTGACTATTGAATCAAATGAACTTTTCACTATGAGTAGTATTTAATCTGTTAACCTAGCTTTTTATGTCTCCAGTTGCTCTTAAGGAGGCTCTACTTTTTTTTTTTAAAGATACTTGGCATTAGACAGATGTTGAATGAAACACTGGCATTCATGGGACAGGGAGCGTGTGAGAAAGATGCTATCTAGTTGCATTATGGGAAATATAGGACTGTGTTTTCTGAACCTCCTTTGCTTTGATTCTAAGCATTCTGTTTTGATCTGTCTCTTCTGAATATGCCAGACTTTCCCTTAAAATGCAAAGCTTCACCAGTTCACTATTACATCATATATTAAAGCTAATGTCCACATCATAAGTGGGTCTGTCTGCCAGCTTGGAGTACGGAGGATAAAAACTAACTGAAGTAGATGACTTTGTGTGCTCATATGTAGCTGTATATACATTGTCATTCTCAGCAGTAAATGAAGCAAGCTTTATGCTTTCTTTGATACTTTATTCTTTGAAAGCTTTGCTGGTCTCACTGACCCTGAACATCTCTGAACAGATGGTATGTTCTGAAAGGAGGTGATCTGAGTCACTGGTGTATAGTAGCAGGAATGCTTACTATGAGTTTTAACATTGTTGCTAATGTTTTTTTCTTGGACTTTAAAGCTTCTCAATGATAAAGATATTGACCTTCTCTCTTAAATGTGAAAACAGTGAGATGGCATGTTCCCACAGAGACAGCAAGATGTTGGTCACTGGTAAATAGTAGCACATGTTTACAGTTTACTGTAAATTTCTATAAGCTCTTTTGCTTTATTTAAAGTTTTTTTTAATGCATTTCGTAAAATACTTTTCAACGTCTATGACATATTACTTCCATTTAATGGTAAATCAAGAAGTGCAGTCATCATGAACATATAGGCGTCTCTGAGTCACAGATGGTTGAACCCAGTGAAGCTTGTTCTGATGGAGATTTCCCTCTACAGTTAAACACATAAATAGACATGAAAAGTATTCAGGGGTAAACACATTTCAACATAATTGAATTTAAATAAAATGAATAATGAAAGATGATCGGATGATTAATTAACAACAAACTAACTAATCATGTTTTTTTTAACTGCATGGCTCTGCTAAGGTAGGCCCACCTCAGGAAACCACACCTGGAGATGGTGCAGAACTTTTTGCTTATATTATCCAGGGAAACCTGCACTCTCTGCTCGGCTAATTTCCTGGATAGCAGAGCAGCTGTGTGGTCTCAGCTGTGATAATACACAGCTTCAGTGTGGGTCTGTTACAGTGGAGCTCTTTAAATTCGAGCATTATTAAAAGTTTTTTTCCCCTCTTGTTTTGAAAAGGGTTGTTGTCTAAGCCTTCCAATTTCTTTTGAGGTTAGAGTTAAGGTTAAAAAACACAAAACCCTCAAAAATAGATTTTCCTAATCAGACTTGTACTCAGAACAATTTTCTGCTGAGCATAGGTTCATTTTTTCCCATAACTGTTTTCTGTATTTTTGTATTCGCTGATCTTGTCTGTGTAGGTTCTCAGTCACCCAGGTCATGGTAAATCGAAGCTAATCTCTCCTCAGTGGCCTGCAGAATGTTAAACTCAGTAACTCAGTTGGGATAGACCCACATCCACAAAGTTCTAAAGACGTATCCTAGCCTTTTTTGTAGGATTGAGGCCTAGTCCACACGAATGATCCCTTCCACACACACTCAGTTCTCACAAACATCTTCGTCCACATGAAACCGCAAATGACGTCCTCTGTCATTGAGATATTGCTTCTGGTAACACCCTTAATAACTGAAGATTATTTTCCCATCTTTATCTTACTTTCCCCCCTTATACACTATTTAATGTTCGGGAGGAAAAAAACAAGATTTTAAACCACTTTTAAAGGTTGTGAAAAATTCTATATGTAATGATATGTAACAGTGCTGTAAAGTTGACTAATAATTCATGTCAAGTTGCATTGCTCCTTGCGCTTGAACATTTCCCAGGCTTGCACAGTCAGCCTGTGCATCATTAACCAGGTGAAGGGAAATGTAATAATGTCTTTTCCTGTTTATATGAATTAAATTCCAATACAGAGAAGAAAAACATATAACATATTCTGTCCTGATTTTTGAGCGTCCACCTCCTGGCAGTAAACTCATTTTGTGTGTCTGCTCGTCATGTTAATTCTCTCTCAGGCAGTCTATGACAGAAATCAAATATTCTTGCAGCATCTCTGGATACACACCTTGCCTGACATTGCATCTGTTACCAAGATGAAGTGGACACCTGTTACCTGGAGGGGATGTCAGCTGCAAATTAGAGGCTACGGCTCAATTATCAAAGCTCTCATTCATACACAATCACTGGCCACTTTGGACATCAGTTAAGGGTGTATCATTATAAACGACTTCTTGGTTCCCGTTATGACTGCTTGAGGCGCCCTCCTCTTTAAATAGTTGAGCATAAAAAATGACAGAGCACGTCTTAATCTCTCACTTGTGGAGAGCTGCATTTAATTGGCTTGAAAGGTCATTTTATTGATTAAAATTCCAAAAGTGATATTGCAATCTTTTTTTCTTTTATTCAGGGTCACTTAACTTTAACAGTTTAGATCATTTTTATTGAACATCTTCAAACCAGTGGGAGAGGTGTATGATATATCAGTGGTCATTGTGGAAACATGCCTGGAAAACTGAACTATGACCATATCATGTTTTTTATCTCATGGGACGTTCAGTTTTTTAGAATGAAATCTGCCTGCAGAAAGTGATGCTCTTCCTTCAAAGATATGCACTTATCACAGACCTTTAATCATGTTGTTTCCAACATACATACTGTATTTACACTGGGTCTGGATCTCATTCCCTACATGTGGATCTAATTTGATCCAAATAAAAAGGTTTTCCTCCTCCTCAACAGACATCCCAACTTTCACCATTAACATATGTTTAAAGAAACCAGACTCTGTTTACCCCGCTTGCTGATCCCCCATCATGGCTGTGTTTTGTTATCAGTGGCAGCCTATTTTTTTTCCCCAAGGGCACGGCCTTCTCCTTGCCATAATTTGATCTGCATAGTCAGGCAACCTTGATTCTCTGCATGGGTCTCCACACTCTGGGCAGCAGAGAGGTCTGACTCTTTGTGATGTGGTAGTAAAAAGACACTAACAAGTGGCCTATGGGTGCAGACAAGGGCAAACAGAGACAGGTAGATTTGCTTTTGGGCAGTGAGGGATGAAAGCAGCCCACACTCAAAGGTGAACCGAGTGAAGTGGACACAGTGGTTTCCCCCTAGGGTGTCCGTTAGCAGTGGATGTGTTTGTGTTGTTGGGAAATCTGTGTTCTCTGATTTCTGTTTTCTTTCCCACTGAATGCCTCCACCGTTATGTCCCCTCGGAGCAGTGAAATATCCATGCAGTTGCAGCATCCAAATGCCCCTTAGGCAAAGGCAAAACATCCCCCATATATACACACACACACACACACACACACACACACACACACACACACACACACACACACACACACACACACACACACACACACACACACACACACACCTCTGTCCATTGCCAGGCTTCACAGATATAGTCTGTGTACTGTTGAATTTTCACAAATGTGCTCTTTCAAGCAGCAAGCTTTGCAGGCAGTCTCCACGCCCTGCTGCGTTTGAAGACCCCAGTCAGTCTATCGCCGCATAAGTACGTGTGTGACATGTTTCTGTCTGAAGTCAAGCTTTTCAAGCATCAAGTGCCAGCTGCCTCTCTCTCTGTCATGTCCGCCAATCCTTTCTGCTAGCCATTGCTCCCTGCCTGCCACCCTACATCCTCCATGTCCTCTCTTTGAAGCCAGACGATAAATCCCTCTATGACTGTGTGAGCTGTGAGAGCCTCATTTTACACCCCAAATCCTGCTTTTCTGTGTCAGGCCTTTTGTAAAGGCTGTTCTTGTGTGTTAGCTGGCAGGAAGCAGGAGGAGAAGACTTGGTTATGTTACTATCAAAACTGTGGTGTGGAGGTTTTGGCCTGTGGTGGGTTTTTGAATTTAGAAATGTTTAAATGGGGTTGGGGATGGCAGACTGCCGCAGTTTTTTTTAATTTAAATTGTGTTAAGACTTTTATTTTAAGTTTTGGTTTGTCATGTATCATTTGTAACTTGTAATGTAGTTCATTCATTTATTTCATCAATAGATGCTAAATACATAATCTTAATCTGTTTTATACTGAATAATTTTTTTTAACTCCTAATAATCTACAGTTATTTATACATTGATACATTTATGAGACAGCCGGCTACTGGACTTAACAGTTTAAGACCTCTGCCCTGTTACATAGGAGGAAGACACAGAGATTCATCTTGTGTCTGTTTTTGGCCATTTTAGGGACTGTGCCCTCTTCCCCTTTTGTCAATAATCCTCCTGTCTTAACCAGCATACCTGGTTATACGCTTAAATTGTCCTTTTCTATTCAAGACTTGCCTCTTGAAACTAAAGCTGCCAGAGAAAATGTTTCTGTGGGTATTTGATTGCCCAGTTGTGTATTGACCAGAATTGAAAACCTGTTGAGCTCATACGGTGTCTGTAGACCATTAAATTTGTGTGAAAGGGCCTTTTCAATGAGCAGATTGAACAAAGCTTCCAGTGAACACTCTGTCTGTGTCCTGGCTCAGCATAACGATTGAATCCACTTTCCTCCAGATCATTCTGGTTCTCCGAACAATGATGGCTCACATGAAACGGGATTTTTTTTCTTTCTTTCTAGGTCTCAGACGAATTTTGAATATGAAGTCTTTATTCCTACATTTCAGTCATTCTTGTTCTTCCGTTCCTCTTTTAGGTATCCATTCCCGACTGTGTTCAGTACATGCAGTAAGAAGGACCTTGCTGCTAGTCTGGAGAAAGGTGTGGGCATGTGTTTGTACAACATGCCAGAGGTTAAGGTGCTCTATGGGGGCCAGAAGTGCGGCAATGGTTACGTGGAGGAGGGAGAAGAGTGCGACTGCGGAGAGCTAGAGGTAAGGTCCAGAGAAAACCCCTCAAACTCACTTAAGTTGAATGAATCGTCACTGAGGTTGTACTGAGCAGAACTTCATATCTGTGAGAATGTGAAATAGTGCACAAAAGAACAAATGTATTTGCTCCATAAAGGCAAATCAAAGAAGAAAAGTTTGTCAGAAAATCCATGTTTATTTTTGGCAAAACACGATTCAGCAAAGGGTAGTAAATACACAGGTGTATAGTCCAAAACACAGGCTTTATCTTTCTTTAGAGCCCATTAACACTCAATGTGTTGATACTCAAAAGTCAAAAAATATACTAGGTTTAAATTATCAAGGGGAAAAAAGCACCAAGTGTGCACTTTTCTAACTTGATGCTGCCTTTACAAAACCCATTGTCCATAAACACTGCAGGCTCTGATACATGTTTGCACACACACACACACATGCAGCAGGGCTCTTTGGGATGTAAAGTGGGAATTTCATATGGAAAGCATGTATTGAACGCTTGCAGCCAGGGCAGGCGGTCGTCTCACGAAGCCTTATACTCAAGATTTGATTACAAATGTATCATTCACTATTTCTCAAGGTTGATGTGTTCCCTACATTATACATGTTGGAGAAAATAAAGTACAATGCCCCTCATCAATCTTCATATTGCTTGTTTTTCAAACCAACATCTGAAACCCATAAATCAACTATTTCTGATGATATAATTAATGATGATGTTGAAATCGAAGAATAGTTTTTTTTTATCCCTTTGTGTCCAACCATCCCCCTCCTGTGATCATGGTTTCTAATAATCACCTATAGGGATTTTTTTAAAGTTTGCACCAACTTCACAAGAAGAACTGATTAGAATTGTCCTGTCAAATTAAACTAAACTTGTATGCTACTGTAGTTGTGACCCCCCCCCAAAAAAAAAAACATGAAGTAGGATAAAGGATGGATTGATTACATTTTATACCCAAACATTAAACTACACTATGACATCAAAATGTGTTTAAAGACAAAAACATTCTGTGGGTTGCTGGTAGCCGCGCAGTTAATGTGCATGTAAAGTGGCTTAAATCCTTGGAGCGGACGACCCGGGGTCCAAATCCGACCTGTGGCTACTATCCGGCATGTTGTTCCTGAATCTCTCTCTCCCTAGTTTCTAACTCTATCCACTGTCCTATCTCTAAAATAAAGATGTAAAAAGCCCCAAAATAAATGTCAAAATATATATACTGTATTTCTGGACACTACTTGGGGCCTTAACTTCTGGATAAAAGAAGTTATTCTGACCATAGATCATAGTTCTTCTGTATTACCATTAAGATTAAAGATGTTTGTGAAGCATCTGGGTATTTGATTTTTTTTTACATCATGACTGCTGGATCTGTGATTGATCTGAATCAACTTTATGAACCAATTATATGAAAACATACAATTAATTTGACTGTTTTACATTTCTCTCAATGAGCTTACAGCCTGATAGATAAATAGTAAAACAAGAATAACAGCGCTTAACAAAGCACAATTTAATACAATTACTTCTATATTCCTATGTCACTACTCAAAAGATTACCTTATGGGGATTTACAACAACAGAAAAGTCGTCCTCCACCCATATAATGAACTTGACTGGTTGATGGAGAGAATTGAGACAAATACAAGGCAGTTATTCTAGTTGCTCCAACAATAAATCATTTATGAAAAGCACTTCTTTGTATAATGATGATATTAAAATTGAATCAATTGACTTGTCGCAGCTCATCTGAGTCTCTAGGCCAACTGAATTTTACAACGTGTATTTATTTCAAGCGAGTATATCATAACACTCACAGAGTTGATATTCTACTGAGATTAAATGTGTACGACTCTCGTATGAGTTTAACTAGGAGACGTAATGCCATCACGAGGTTAATTTCTCTGGAATGTCTTCACTCTGTAGAACTACTCACACAATCATGACTCAGCAAAAATCAGCTACAGCTGTGAATATATTTACTGCCAGAGATGTTTGTCATTTTAACCAAAGGAAGTAGAAGTTATCCCTGGCTAAAAACGTCATAACATTTTGTCAAAAAGTGAAGAGAGACAAAAGGACCAGTAAGACAGGAAATGTTTGATGTGAGATTTGATAGCAGCTGAGTCCAACAGATGTTTATATTCTGCTAACCTAGAACCAGATCCAAAATGGAGCTCCCTACCTGCTTTTGAGACCTCAATGACTCAACTATATATTTGATTATATAGTTAGGGGATTTTATGATTTTTTGGCCCCATCGTTAAGAGAGAATACTGTAGGTGGTATTTAAGCGGAGTCATTGTGTTTGACCACCAACAAGCATGCCCTTCAACAACCTCCATAATGTCACCACAAATGGTCTGCTTGTTTTATCTGCCAGCCCACTTAGGCCGAGAGATTAAAGCAGCCTTTTCTCTCCTCTCTAAACAATTTGTCAGGGCCAAGAGGTAAACAGTCAAGACTCATGAAATCCAAACCACACATCGACTGAAAATTAGACATCGGACAATTGGGCTGCCTTCAGTTCCCAGCCTTCATCCCAAATCGTCATACAACAGCCACGTCGAGAGAAGATAAATGCTGCTGGGAGTTGTTTTCTGCTCAAAAGTGCGATGCTAGACACTACTTGGAAAACAACGCTGATGTGCTTTGGCATCAAATGAAAGATAAACATCAGAACTCCTCCCTCAAGTCCTTTAAAGCCTCACCCCCCCACCCCATCTGCTCCTTATGTATCCTCTCTCTCTTTTTTTCCGTTTCCTCAGGCAGACAGCTGATATTGTCATTGTGGTGAAGTGGCTGTAATCTTCACCTCTTAAGGGGTTTCAAATCCCACTCCTTCCTTGCTCAACCATACTGTAGTAGTCAAGTCTGCCACTCCACATACATCACATTTTGAACAAAACAAACTCTCAACTGCTACATCTGATTTCTATCTTTTGCTCCCACTTTTTTTTTTTTCACTTCCACACGGGTCATCGCATTAAACACACCCCTCCTTTAAAAGGTCTTGTGAAAATCCCCAAATCAAGACCATGTGAGCTTTGGTTCATATGTCTCCACTCAAAGGTCTCCAGGTCAGGTTGAGCAAGGCAGGAATCCCCGGACAGGAAGTGCAACCCCTCCGACCTGGAAGTCTTGATCTGACAGAGACCAGCTGACAGGGGAACTACAGAGCAGCGCTGATCAAGTTCACATGGTTTTAACCAGTTTGTTTCCTTTCTCTGTTTTTCCAGGAATGTATGAATCCATGCTGCAACGCCACCACATGCACGCTTAAGGGAGACGCAGTGTGCGCACACGGGCAGTGCTGTGAAGACTGCCAGGTACAACTTTTTCTCAAGTAGCTCTTCTACCATCACATGCATTCTCTTTCCATTTAGAACCCTCTTTTCCTCATTTAAGTCCAGTTCTTTTCACTCTCAAAGCTGGAAAGATTCTGAAATGCTGTTTTCTTTGGTCCTCTGAACATTACACAAAGTTTCACCCTGCAGAGATTTTCATCTTTCATTTCCAACTCAAGTACAAGAACCCAAACTTTCTGAAACTCTGTTCATTTTCTCTGGAAGGTTATTAAGAGGTTCACAATAGTTTGGTCTCATTTTTAATTTAACATCGGGTCAGTTCATTCAAACTGCGTAGATCCTTACCTCAATAGGCTGGTTTCAACTGAGGGCATGTATTCAAGTTAGATAACATCACTTTTACTAAGTTCTAAGTGTTTTTTTTTGCTTTGACATGGAGATCTAATTTCTAGCTGCCTCTGATCTGTGCCCTCTCTTTGAAAAGGGAGATGTATTAAAGATTATTTATTTACCTTATCCTTATCCTTGTACCTATTATACTGGCAAAAGAGTCCTTTGCTCTGCTTCATAGAAAGTATATTTCACATCAAGGCACGAGACATCATGAGACACAGGACTGTACTTATTCTAGTTCCCACGTGTCTTAAGTCTTTATCTATGTGATAAAGAATCAACCTCAATGTTTAGGTCTCTAAAATATGTTTTGAGTGTTTGTTTTTATCAAAGGATGCAGCACTGACAAGAAGGGGCAATCAGCATTCATGCTCAAGGACGTCATTAGTTCAGTTACCTACAATATCAAGTGTAGAGTCCAAAGCTGCAGCATTCTGTAGAAAACTGAAAACACTTTTAATGCTTGATGTTATTTTCACCATTCTTGCACAGTATCTCGTACAGTATCTCATATTTGAGGTTGATAATATCTGCCAGTCAGTCCACCTCTTTAGTCTGGTCAAGACTTCTTTTGTGGATTGCCATTACATTTCTGTACTGACGTTCATGTATCCTAGAGGATAAATCCTTCAGACTTTGGAGATCCTCCGGTTATTCTCATAGCACCACCATGAGGATGGTATCTGTGGTCTGAACAGATATTGTGTGGTCTGTCTCCAACATTGCTATCACTCTTCCCACACCAAGTGCCTACTACGGCACAAGCATTTTTGTCCAGTTGGTAACAGTCTTTTCATGTTCATATCAAGACCTAATAGGGAGTTCACAAAGTCAGAAGGCCAAACAGATGGATGAAGTCAGTCATGTTGCAGAGTCCATGTCTGAAAGGTCTTACTGACTGAGGCCGTTTGTGTTAACAGCTGAAACCTGCTGGCACCCTCTGTCGAGAGTCCAGTAACTCCTGTGACCTGCCAGAATTCTGCACCGGTGCCAACCCTCACTGCCCAGCCAACGTTTATCTGCATGATGGGCATGCCTGCCACAGCGTTGAAGGATACTGCTACAACGGCATCTGCCAGACTCACGAACAACAATGTATCACCCTGTGGGGACCTGGTAAATCAATAGCTACTTATAACTTGAACTGTGTAGCAAATATTCACTTTTACAAGAGAATGCTTCATGTTGGTGTTTTTATTTAAATTCCTCATAAATGTTTGTGTGCAGGAGCCAAGCCTGCCCCTGGGATATGCTTTCAGAGAGTCAACTCAGCAGGGGATCCTTATGGGAATTGTGGGAAGGACTCCAAAGGCTCCTTTGCCAAATGTGACGCGAGGTAAGACTGCAGCTGCAGCAGTGAAGCGTTAGAGGTACAGCGAAATCTCAGAGCAAAACGCAACTGATTAGCTTAAGCGGTGTCATTAGCAATCATCATTACCTTGTGGAATCTGACAAGTGATTTTCAAACAAATGTTGAGCGGGGTGAAAAATGTAATTCGAGAAAGATAGCAGCTAATTACATTTAGAGGAAGTCTTCACGTGTCATTTCATGCTGTTCTTGTTGGCTAATTGTTCTGAAGATCTTCTCCCTTTGGGTGAATTCTGTAATCAAGCTTTTTGTTAATTGATGTAATTGCTCTAATGGCCGCAGGACTGAAGCATTTGGCTCTCTAGCAGTCTTTCATCTTTGGGTACAGTTACTTATCTCTGTCTGTTACTGACAGGCTTATTTAATTAAGTGTCTTACTATGTGTGTTTTAATTGTGCATGCATGCGTGTTTCTGTTTGTGTGCAGGGACGCACAGTGTGGCAAAATTCAATGCCAAGGTGGCGCCAACCGACCAGTGATTGGAACAAATGCTGTTTCCATTGAAACCAACATCCCGCTTCAAGAAGGAGGGCGTATTCTGTGTCGAGGAACACATGTTTACCTGGGTGATGACATGCCGGATCCTGGGCTGGTTCTGGCTGGTACGAAGTGTGGAGACGAGATGGTGAGTGATTCCTTCAATATTAATATGTAAAATGACAAGAGAGTGCTTGGTTGTTCATACTTCTTCATTAGTGGCAAAAACAATGCTGGCAAAGTTCATGCACCCCCATGCACAGAGGCTACAGTCCTCAAAGCAGGCAGCCTGGGTGAACCACGGGCTCCTTTGCCGCATGTTATTCCTCTTTCCCTCTCCCTGATTTCCAGCTCAATCCACCATCCTGTCTCTCCATAAAGGCTTGAAAAGCTCAAAAAGAAATCATGAAAAAGGAAAATAGTGTTGATGACATAAAGGAGGTTTCAACCAGGCTCAGGAGGAGTAATAATAAAACAATACTTAAAGTGCCTGAGGAGATTTAAACTAGTTATGAAAGGGTAAAAAAATCAATATTGAAGTCTCTTTTAAGACCTAGAAAAGTAAACGAGGCCATCAGCAACAACTGTGACTATTTCCTGAAAGTAATTTACAGTGCTGCAGTGAGTTAGGTGTTAGCTGAGATGATTTACAGCATGCCCAAGAAACAGCTTTTTTTTAAAGTTCTCAACAGCAGACATCCACAATCAGTCATACATTCGTTAACAGAAGGTAGGATGAGTTATGTTGACAGAAAATACTACATACCCATGTACAGGATAGAAACAGAAAATAGATTAGATGTACAGATTTGTCAAAAGAAGGGGATACACTTTATAAAAACTGAACATCCCTCTCAGGGGTTTATTCAGAGTGAATGTAGACAGAACAGACATATACTGTATGCCCACTGGCCTCTGTACTCCCCCCATATATCAGGTGAAATCTGTTGACGTGTATTCACTGTATTATGAATAACAGTACGCTATTTATATTAGGTGAATATCAAGTTAATTGTGCTTTATTCTTTAAGTTATTTTAGTGTTTGCTCACAAACGGCTCATCTTGCCTCACATATGACACACCTGCACCTCGTCTGGCTTCTCTCTCAATAAACAGCACAGCGGTGTGTCTCGCCCCGGTGCTCAGCATGTGTGTGTGTCTGCTTATTTGACGATCTTCTTCAGCAAAATGTTTTACGAAGTTTCCAAAAAATACACAACAGGTGAGCCTAGAGAAGGGAGGCATGTTATTGACGATATAACAAAACTAAGTAGCAAATAGATTGAAGAATATCATTTGCAGCACTTATGATTGAAACATTTGCATCAGAAGGTTCATGCTTAAAATGAGACGTTGCACCATAAGCATTGCATCTAAGGAGGCACTTAAAAAGAGTACAACTCTGTCTCGATATCTGAGTACCTAGTAATTTTTAGCTATTTTAAAAATGAAAAATGTAAATGCATTAAGGAGCCTAGAGCTTTGACTCTGGCTAAAAAAGTGGTCACGTGTGTGAAAGCCCAGTTGTGCTAGAAAATGACTGTTTTATGCAAAGTGCTGTTCAACAATTTCACACATTAAATGTGTTTGTAGTTCTGTTATGTATTGTAAATGCTAGCAATAACAGCAAACATTTTCAGGCACTTTATCTTGTTGCACTCAGTTGTTCATGTGAAAAGTGGAAGACATGTTGGCACTCTGAAGAAGCATACAGGCAGGTATAGAGTGTAGAACCAAACTGTTGGGGTCTTACAGTCCTACAAGTCTTTGAAGACTCTCTGACTTACCTCAGGAGACTTGCCCTTGGTGCTAAAAGGCCCTTCAGCTCTGTGTACAAACTGGCCGTCTGCCATGTCAGCTTTTTCTCCTGGCTGTTTGCTCTACAGAGCTCGATTTAGCTCCGCTCATTATGTGGAAATTGGGATGGCCTGAAGGTGGGTCTTTGTCTTTGTCATTGGCCTTTTTTTTTCTTTTCTTTTTTTTTTTTTTAATTCTCAAAAAAGTTTTTCTATTTCCCATGCAAATTAAGGTATTACGTTTGCAGCACATGGTCAGCATTATAAGTAACCATTTGAGGAAGATGAGAGAACAAAGCTGCTTTACCTGATGCAAGCCTGATCTTCTACATAAAAGCCACAAAAGCTGCCTTTCTGTTTTTGTAGTCAATTAAGTCAACTTCATCTTTTGCACATTTAGTCTTGTACATATTAGTCTTTGTAATACTTTTGTTCATGGAGGGCACAGTTTACTGAAGCCATATTCATTGTATGTGTGACCATAGCTGGCCAATAATAAAGCTGATTCTGATTCTGATACACAGCATAAAGAGCCTTTGGCATTGTTCACCTTATGACCTGTATTCAGGGTTGTGATATTTGTGGGTCAGCCTGGTTTACATGCCCACCACACATCTCCTCTGTGATTCACAAATGTGTTTCTATCTTTAAAATGATCCACTCCTTTAACAGTTTTAATCTGGTTCTATTTTACTTCAACGCTTGTTTATTTTTCATTTGTTCGTATTAATCCTCATTGGCCTTTGAGTTATGAACCTCTAAAAGAATTCTTAATGATTCACTCCTGTTATAGGTGTGCCTGAATCGGCAGTGCCAGAATGTCAGCGTGTTTGGTGTGCATGAGTGCTCTGGGAAGTGCAGTGGACGTGGGGTGAGTACTAAGTACCTACAAGCTCAATATGTACTTGTAAATTATGCACAGCAGCCTTTGAAACAGTGAAACCGCCCTGTAAGAAGTCAGTATTTATTCATTTTTTAGTATTTGAACAGCGTAAAGACTCTCTCTCTATAATTGCAGATAATAGAAGAGAAACAGGACAGCCTTTTAGTTTCAACAGCTGGTACTACTCTTTACGATCCTCTTCATTGTCCCACTGAGGATAAATCAATCCAATCTGTGAGCATCATTTACAGTGTACCTATACTCATCTGTATATCATGAATCCTCCTCTGACTCTACAGTGAGAAAAATACAGTTCAACACTGCAGGAAGAGAATACAACAGACGTTCTGCTGCATTTAAAAGGAAATAATCACCTTTCTCTCTCAGAAGTTCGTATCAATTATTCATCAGAGGGGTTTTTCTGTGTTTTATTTACCTTGTTGTGGAGTTGTTAGATTCAAACACTCACCTGGGGCTCGATAACCCTACAGTTACCTCTGAAAGTCATTGCTAATTTACCTTGAGAAATTAAATCTTTAATTCTGAGGCTGTTTCAATTCTAAAAATCCTTGAATCACAAATCACAAAAAAAAATCAACAACAAAAAAGTTTGAAAACGAATAAAAGTCAAGAAAAATTATTTTCTACTAAGAGCTTGAGATGCATCTTCCCTCCTGCAGAAACATCGCCTCAATCAATTTCTGCCTTTTTCTCAGACACTTCACAAAGAACAATACCTGACGGGAAAAATAGTAAATCTCTGAATTACCTGCAGGACAATGTTGTCTGCCTAAGAGTCCAGTCACTTTATCTTTAAAGGCATATATTGACTTTATTAAGGTTATTTGGTATGAAGCAGTCAAGAATCCCCTTTAAGGATTTACATTACATTTACAATAATCTTCTAGATTTCTTCAAGGGGTCATGTGTAAAATGTGATCTTTCCTGATTATCTAACACACTGACTTAAGAAAGAAACGGAAGGTTGAGCTTGATTATTGTGTTTGCATCAAATGCAGAATTCAGTCAATGATTGGGGTTCAATCTTCAACTCGTTTCCCACTCACATTTCCCACTTTGTGTACATTCTACATAAGAGAGTCAGATAATCTTACACAGTCCTTGTGACAAAATCAGTAGTGTGTTTTCTTCGGTAACCTTTTACACACAAAAAAAAAACTTCCCCAATCATACATTCCCTCTAAGCCCAAAAGCATCTCTTAACCCTGTCACCCGGTGCAAAGGAGTGTCCGTGGCCTGGGGACAGAGAAGGCACTTGACTGTACGTCTGTGCTAAATGTAAATCCCCCACAGCTGCTCCACTCCCTCTGCATCTCCCTCCATCCTCCTCCTCCCTCTAACTGACAGCTGGACTGAGTTTACATCACCAGGGAATCCTCCTGGATCAAACTTCTGCACTGGAAACCTAAGGCTTTACGGGATGGACTCTGAGATACACATGTTTTATCTATTACAACACACATGCACAGCGAGTGTGCTTTTATATAAAGCCACTTAAAAAAATTCAAGTGTTTTATTTATTATTTAAGAGTAAACCTCTTCAGTTTTTATCTTATTAGGGAACGGAGTACTGCAATATTTATGTCAGGCAGTAATACGAATGCCTTTTGATGCTTTTGTTTGCAGAAGAAAAGAAGAAGCTTGTTCTATACCGTTAAACTAGCATGTACTGTGAAGTAAGGTTATCTTGTTTACAGGTGTGTAACAACAAGAAGAACTGCCACTGCGAGGCACACTGGGCGCCTCCATTCTGTGAGAAAGCAGGCTTCGGTGGGAGCATTGACAGTGGGCCGATGCGACTGGCAGGTAGTCTGGACGATAACATTTCTGTTTTCACTCATGTAGACTCAGACAGGCGACAGCGCTAACTCAGAAATGAGCAACAACACAAACCCAGCTGCACGTTGTACATCGCTCTCTCTTGCAGAGGGAATTGATAAGTGTAACTTTCCCAGAACAACACAACTCTAATTCCATCTCACAATACATACAACAGCACAGTCTGTATTTGAAAGGCGATGATGTTGTTTGTAGTTCTTAGATTGTAATTAGTAGAGAAATACGATGTGCCGCTGACCGTGCTGTAACGGTCTCTGCATCATGTCCTCTCATTGTTCTGTGCGCTAGATGTGCGTGTGTGTGTATTAATGTGCGTGTTGTCATATGTGGCATCAGCCGACAGTGTGGTCATTACTGTGGCGATCCTGGTTACCCTGGTCAGCCTGCTCGTAACCACAGTGATCGTCTTCCTGAAGAGGAAGACTCTGCTGCGCCTCCTCTTCACCAATAGGAAGAGCACCTTGGAGAAACTCAGGTGACATTTTCTCTCTCTTTTTCATAAAAAAAAGATATTTTATATGACTTATGCTCACACCTACCATTGCATGTTAATGTCTGGGTAACTTAAAAACTCAGCCTGACCCTGCAGTACTTTTGTTGGGATTATAGATCCATGGAGGCAAACAGGCCGACCAGCCCCATCAGGTCTCAGTCCTTGTACAGACCCACACCACAGCGTAAGCCTCCGCCCAAACCCTCTACTGCCAACATTTATAAGGTGAGTCAATATGTCTGTCACTGCATCACTCCAAAAGCTATGTGCATAAGTATTGACCACATGTTTATATGTACGTGCTTGTTTACCTTTTTATGTGTGTTTGTGTGCAAATCTCTGTCACGGCACTTTGGATTTGATTTCTTTTGTAATCACACTGTATTAGAGCCTTTTCACTCACCTGCAGTTTAGAGTAGTCGTGCCTCCAGGCTTGTTTACAAAACAAGTTGACGGCAAGCTGGGTAATTGATTCAGCTTCACTATATCGCATAAATATGAATTATGGTGCTATTGTTGTCAAGCAGCAAAGAAACGTAAATTGGGAGATTGCTCGATTTAATTCAGACTCGGGGTGCTATTATTGAGCTCTTTTTGTATTCTTTTCATGAGAAATACACCTTTGACTGCTTCAGGCTGAGGAGAAAAGAACATGTTGGTGTAGTTAGACACATATCATTTGTACTTGCATTTATATAAACAAGTGTGTGAGTTTCTGATTTGTACTGTCTCTCTATTTGATCCTCTTTATGTTAAGCAGAATTCAGTCCGCTTGTGGCTTTTTGACACAGCCTGTCTTTTCTTATTATGGTCACTACATCAGCTGTCCACTGATGTCCAGATGTCAGTCAGCAGCATCACAGCAGCATTCTTTGAATACATCTGCAGTGTTTGGTGTGTGTGTTTGAGAGAGAGAGAGAGAGAGAGAGAGAGAGAGAGAGAGAGAGAGAGAAAGTGTGTGTGTGTGTGTGTGTGTGTGTGTGTTTATGTTTGTGTTTGAGAGCGAGAGAGTGTGTGTGTGTGTGTGTGTGTGTGTGTGTGTGTGTGTGTGTGTGTGGTGTGGTGTTTTTGTGTGTGTCAGAGAGAGAGAGAGTGTCTGTGCGTGTTTATGTTTGTGTTTGAGAGAGAGAGAGAGAGAAAGAGTGTGTGTGTGTGTGTGTGTGTGTGTGTGTGTGTGTGAGTGCGTGCGTGCATGCGTGCGAGTGTGTGCGTACGTGCGTGCGTGCGAGTGTGTGTGTGTGTGTGTGTGTGTGTGTGTGTGTGTGAGTTCGTGCGAGTGTGTGTGCGTGCGTGTGTGCGTGCGTGTGTGTGTGTGTGTGTGTGTGTATGTTTTAATGTTTTAAGAGAGAAAGAGAGTGTGTGTAAGTGTGTGTTGTCCAGCAGCCAATTTTTTTTTCTGGCAGTTTTAGGTGTTATTAGTTTGTTCTGGAGCGGAGGGAGAGCAGCTGGTCAGGACATGTGGTCAGACGCTGGCTCTTACTTTTTCACAGCGTCATATCTAATAATGTTGTTTTCCAGTTTTATGACCAACTCTGACATGAGCTATTTCAAACTAATGAGAGAATCATGAAGTCACTGAAGTGGAGTTTATCATTATATTATGAATTTATATTAAGTCATTTCACAATACCAAAGCTGCATCTAAAGATTATTTGAATGACCATTTCATGTTTTTATTATTTGTTTAATCGATCAAATGAAGATGTCAGGAAATGGAATAGCTCCAAAATGATCTTCAGCAGCAGCACGATGCATCTTCTTCAGTGAACCCTGCGGCCCAGCTGACACTCTCTGAATCACCTCGAAAAAAAAAATACATTTGTTTTTTCTCAGTACAGTCTGCTTCAATCCACAGAGGGCTGTGAACCAAAATAAGACACCAGCAAACATCGAAAAGAAATAAATATTCAGTAGAATTTGAGAAAAGGTGTGATGTTTAAAATGTTAAAAAGAGAATAGATTACAATCAAAGTAGTTCACAAAAACACAAATAGCTAATTATTTCAGCGCTACACAAGTAAATTAAGGTACTGCAAGATTATCTCGAGTAGTACAAGAGCAACAACAACAAAAGTGGGTCGTAAAAGGCTTTTTCCACCGAAGACATTTGATAATTTACAGTCGGGAAAAGCAGGGGTGTAAACAATAAAATTAATGATGGCTGTAATTAATTTGGCCTGTGTTTCAGGGTCAGGGTATAATATTTGCTGGATGACTGTCTTAGCTTAATGAGACTCTCATTAAACATGTTTATGTATTTAATGATTATATAAATATGTGAGTAATATCTGAGCTTCCTCTGCTATCACACAGCAAATCATCTGTTGCGAAAAAAAGTAATATCTGCAGTGCCAACTACTGCTCTACACAGTAGAGACACACTGAAACTAACTTCCTTACATTCTCTTCTCAGCCATCTCTCCTGAGTGCGGAGCCTCTTCTCCCTCCACACAACTTCCACTCTCACAGCCTGCGCCGCCTGCCCCTCTACCAGCCCCTGCACATCAGTCACCCTATGCCCGTGTCTCTGAGTGTGGGCCAGCCCACCCTCCCTCCTCTCCCAGCCCACCACAGGCTGCTGCCTGCACACAGGTCTCTCTCACCACCTCGGGTGCAACCTTTTCTCAGTCTGCCACGCCATCAGCCGTCATACAGAGGAGAACAGGTTTGTTTGCATAAATGTTGTTTAATGACTTATTTAACACTTAACTTTTGCAGTTTTAAGACTTATTTAGTTCTCAGTGGTATGGGTGCAAAGAATACATACACTCCAGAAAGTTTATAGCTTTGCCTTTGTTGTAAATTATCTTTTAAAATGGGAGCTCTAATGGACCATATATGCAGCATAGTCCATTAAATCTGTGTTTTGTATATTTTACTGTACATTACTCTTTACCATTTTATAAACTACACCATGGGTCTTTATGGTGGTATATTCTAGGCAACCATCAATTTTATTTCATATAAATAAAGTATGATCGTAAACCTGCTGGGACCTGAAACTCTTAAAAGGGGTTACAGATTCATGGATGGAAATGAATTCTTAGGGGTGCATTTACAGACACACTCACATCTGAGATTTGAGTTGGCTTTGAAACATTCTTATAATAGTCATACAGTACCAAAATGAGCAAAAACCTACAGATTAAGACAAAGGAAGTGGATCTGCACATTGTTAAATAAATGTCAAAGGTTTTTAACAGTCTATAGCTTGTCATCCAGCCAGCCTGTAGGAGATGTTTTTGAAGGCTGCACCAAAGTGTTAGATGTCAGAACTCACTGCCTTCCTGCACTGCAGTTAGCTTGCTGGCCCACGTAACGACAGTAAAGTTCAATGCATCTGCCTTTCTGTGATCCTGAGTTAGGCGCTGCTTTCTGCTGAGCAAGCAGTATCGAATGCAGTGGAGATAGTAAATCCATCTGACCGGTGGATTCAGTGCTGGATCCAAATAGTGATGCCCTCCCTAACAAGTGCAGAAGGAACAGTTAAGTTGGAAGTGAGCACATGGAATACCACAGCAGGGTGCTTGGGACTCTGTAGATGCATGACATTTAAGAAAAAGGAGACATAAACCTCTGATGGGAGACTTGCTTGATGTAATGCATGAAGGATTTCGCAGGAGATGCACAGAAATCAGCAGCAATGCTAAAGTAACTTAAGTACATTAACTTAACTAGATCATATTATTAGGTTTATTTACTTGTATATTATTATTATTCCAATTTACTCTTCCTTCCACTACATTTTGGAGGAAAACACTGGCTGTTTTACGCCAGATGAATTATTGTAAGGCTAAATTTACTCCTAACCTTTCAGAATTATGTTTTACTTTAAAGTATTAATGATGTGCTTATCAAATACTATTTCCCAACATTTCTGGCTTCAGAGGCTTTGCCAAATAAGCAGGGTCTAGTCGAGGCCTGATGTCTCTGATGTCGATGAGTTGTCAGCAGCTCCTCTAAAGAGACATTTCTCCTCTGATGTATCAGATGGTTTCATATAAATAAACAAAGATGTCAGAGTTTCAGCATCTCGCCAAAAAGCATAGAAGAGTTAAGAGTTAAGTCCCCCAAATGTTATTCTGTCCTCTCCCAGGAATCCCCTGAAAAGCCCTTAGATTTAATAGTCAACCACTGGAGCACCAATTGGCTGCTTAAGAAAGCTCAATCGCTGAATCTTCATTAATACATAAATTAAATAGTTTACAACAATTCCCCATACAATGGTAACGTCTGACATGTTCATTTTGCTGATGATACTTGTGTACTTCTTCTTTAGAACTCCATTTAAACTTATAAAAGTGAAAATTCTGAATACTTGATCGACCCATGAGTATGCAGAAATACCTGCCATCATGTCCGGCATTGCAGCACATCTCCCTTGATTCATGTGAACGGGTGCCAAACTAGAAATGCACTTAAAGTGAAATGCCCTGGTTTTGCTTTATAAAGAGGCTGCTCGCTAGCCTGCCAAAACAATGAAACCCTGTTACCTGCTAATATCCACCAGCTCATTTCACTGTAATGCGACAGATGGAGCGAGCAGAGACGGCACACAGACTGTAGGTCAGAAACATCAGAGAGGATTCTGCTGGGATTTAATAAGAGGCCAGCGAGGACGTACAGGACATCAATCCTTAAATACAAAGTGTATTACAAGCTTATTGTAATACTTGACACAACCTCCCCTGCTGTCTGTGCCAATATGTCTCTTTTTAAAAGACCTTTTTTATGCCTGTGTGCTGACTCTACCCCATTAATGTTGAGGTGTGGGAATGAAGCCTACTCTGCATACAGTGAGACAATACATGAAAGGGAGACAGTGAGGGAGCAGATTTTTCAAACAAACCTGCTTGTTATAATTTTGTTCAGTTGATGAAAACATATCAGATACCTGTTGAGTCAAATAAATATAAGGGCAAATAAACTCAGACTGTGCTCAGGCGTACATCAGACTGCAGCATCACACTGCTGAGGAGTAGAAATCCTGCTTTCAAAGATGTCATCTTTTTAAGAAGTCAGATATATACTTAGTTTTTTTGGCAGGACTATAGGATACATTTTTCAATTCCCCCGGTGGGTTTAAAAAGGTGCCCGTAAACTGGAGGCTCATAGATCTTTCTCAAGCCGCAGAGGAAGATGCAATCCTTCATTTTGAATTAAGACAAGCGAACACCACCAAGACTCTGGTTACAGTGTGAGGTTTCCTGCCAAGAGCGGCATTAGAATGCACATGGGTCCTGGATTATTCTTGCATTTGAGTGGATGCATCTGTCCATTTATTTCTTAGTTTCCCTTAGTGCACTCCCTTGAAAAATGCCCTCATTTTCTATTTCTCTAGAAGTTATTCTCCTTCTAAACTACACTGTCCATGGCTTAACCATGTAGGACTGGAAGGAAATAATAGTACTTTAAGGTAACAGTGGGTAGTACCCGATTGGTGAAATACTGTGTTAGTTTCAGTTAACATTCACACAAACTCATTTGATAGGATCCCCACTGTGTACGTTATATTATCCGAAACATTTAACTAGTAAGATCAGAACCTGCTGTGCTGTTTGCAGAGCTCAGTTTGGTTAAAAAATAATAACATTGAACCTCTGTGGGGCACCGTTAGTTTCCACTGCAGCTGAAGCGCTCTGAGCTGTTTTATGCAGACAGTTTTTAGATTTTGAGTTTTTAGGGAGGCAGTTTTATTCTTTGCTAAACTTCACTCTCCTTAGCTAAAAAAAATATTAAAGGTGACATATTATTCTCCTTTTCAAGAAGTTTAAAAAAGTCTGAGCGCTCCCAAAAACATTTCTGTGAAGTTACTTGTTAAATATCCACTCCAATCCTGTATTTTATCATGCCTATAAACCCCTCTAAATCAGCCCTACTCAGAACGGGCTGTTTCTGTGTCTGTAGCTTTAAATGCAAATGAGCTGTTTCTGAACACGCCCCTTTAGAAGGGCTTGTTTGGTTTGGGCTTTCTTGCAATCGGCCTGTTTGAGCACACATTTTCTGAAAAGTAGAGCAGGCAAGAGAGAGACAGGATGGACTTTTCTCATACTATGGGGGTTTGTGGACAGAGTAGACACATTAGCATTTGAAAACATTGTAAAGAGAATTTTGCTGAATATGTGACCTTTAAAGGGACTCAATTTATTGTTGCATTTATTTAAAAAACATCTTCATGGCTTCAAGAAAAGGCAACTACTTTTACTTTAACTCATTTACTGGCTTTCTTCATCTATAATAGTTAATTTCATATATTAGATTGGGGTAATTGGTCAGACAAATAAAGTACTTTGAAGGTGTTAGCCTTATTGCTCTTCTAAATGTAGAGTTCCTCTGCTTACTTCAAACAGCAACCACAATGTAATATACTCAACATCGGCAAAAGTATTTGCACGTGAGTGAATTTTTTTTTTAAAAAGACCTGAAACCTCTTCCTCATATGACTATTGAATTTGTGATATCTGTTATTGCAGCCTTTTAATTAGATTTGTATCAGGCTGTGCTTCCTTTCACCTTAAAGAGCATCAGTGGTGTTGGGCTGTAAAATAGCTTACTGTAACCTAAACTATGATTCATCAGTCTCCTGGCACTGAAAATAACTAAGTCTGTATGTTAATGTGACCAACTCAGTCACGTCATGACTACATTTTTAAATGTTCCTGCTCTCTTAGTATTATCAAGGCATGATATGGAAGCCTTTTTCCTCTGAGTGCACTTAGTTTGTCCAACTGTACCTCTTGAGTGTTTTATTGTGGTCTTAACATGTGTGTGTGTGGGGGTAGGTTTTTGAGCTTGTGTGTGTGCGTGTGTGTGTGTGTGTGTGTGTGTGTGTGTGTGTGTGTGTGTGTGTGTGAGTGTGTGTGTGTGTGTGTGTGTGTGTGTGTGTGTGGTGGTAGCAATGCTCCTGGTAGTAGATGTTTATCACTGCTTGCCTCCTTCTCACTGTAGATTAGTAACACATGATGGCACCTCCATTCAGATAACCTTCTACACACTTACACGCACACACACACACACACACACACACACACACACACACACACACACACACACACACACAGCTCTACCGCAGAGATGATGGAGACACTGAGGAAGAGGAAGAGGTTTGGGATTCATCTCATGTCAGCTGTGGGAATTCAGAGGAGAAACTGATAAGACAGTGCCCTCTAGCGAAACATCTACAGATATTTAAAAACAGCTGATGCATATTTAAAAGGATGTAGAAGGTCTCGTTTCTGTGCAAGGTGTCTTCAGATAAGAATAATGTCCTGTGTGGCATTTCAAAAAATAATTTCAGGTAGTTATCTTATTCTAAAAGAGATTAAAGACTGATTATTCTCGAGATTTGTGTATGTCCTTAAAGAAAATACCTTGAAATGTAGGGCTGAATGACACAACAACAGTGCCTAAACCTCACTTTATATACACATCCAAATGTGCACATTTGAAGTGACTGACTTTCCTTTATTCTTCTTAAGGACTTCGAGAAACCCAGTCCACCCCAGAAACCCCTACCTGCAGACCCACTGGGGAGGAGCTCTCGGCTGGGTTACCGTGCTTCAGCTGCAGGAGTCCATTTTCCGGGAAATGGACCCCTCCCCATTCCTATCCCCACAGTGCCCAGACCCCCACCCACCATCCCTTTACCCAGCAGGTAGGTGAACGTGACAGGAATCACCCTTTTTAAGTATGGTTGTTGGAAAGAGCTGATCAGTCCTTCACCATGTTTGGCATCTTGTGAAGAGAATCAAGCGCTTTCTTTTAATGTCAAGTTATTTTTCTGGTGAAGTCTTGACTAATGATCATCGTGAGCCTGAGGGTCACTTTCACCCTCTTCTCTTTGGGGAATCCTACAAATACATTTTCCCATCTCAATATTTAAGATATTTTTAACCAATTTCAGGAGATATCTCTTTTAGACTGCCCAAAGAAAACCTCTGCAGCAACATAAATGGGTGATTCTCTGTATTACTCTGTTATCTAAACTGCTGTTATTTAATTCATGAATGAGAGATGAAAGTTTAATTAATTAATTAAATCATGTTTTTGTCGTTTTGAGGTAGGATGTTCTTTCTTTTTTCTTTTTGCAATCTTATATTGACGGTGACATTTGTTTTATTTGTGAGTTGTATTTATAACTCCAACACTCCTAACTGCTGGTGGATGCTACAATGATGACATTTAGCTTAATCCGAGTCAAGTAGCACAATTGGCAGGTCTTCAAGTCATTAAAGGCGTGCTTTGAGTTTGGTTCATGTTTTGTTTCTCGTTGACCAAGCACAATTCAATATCACAAAATGTTTCTGAGAGGACATTTGATGTGAATTGAAACAGTCCTAGCACCAAACCTTGCGGAACTCCATATCAAATTCATGTTATGATTGACCTACTAAGTTTCCATAGTAACAGGATACATCTTTTACACTTCATAATTCACATGACAGCTAATGAGAATTCATGCTTGTGTTTCCTTTTCAGACCAGTGCCGGTGTTGCCCTACAGACCACCAAAGATTCAGAGGGACTGCTGAGCTCCTGACGTCATGGACGAGTAGATCTCCTGCCAACAGACGGAGACTTTTTGATTTGCACTAATTACTGAGACTCTGTAAGACATTCTGGACAGTTAGAAGATGAACAGAGTCTCTGGTGAAGGGGGCTAACGTCACACCTTGGTGCTACACCTCTAAAAGGTGCTTTGATGTCCTCACTCAGGTACCAATGAACTATTTATCTATTTAAGTATTTAACTTCAATACTGACGATCTGTGCACAGAGCACTCTGATCGAGTGAGAAAAAGAAGGACTCATTGTGTTTTAAATATTTCTTTTGCATTTCTTGTGATTTTTATATCTTTTCTTTACTCAAATGAAATGCTGAAATGTACGTTTTTTTAAAGCCGGTCAAGTTGCTTGAATCATTGACGCACCAAAAGTTTGTTTTTGGACTAAGGTTATGATAAAGGGAAGTGGAGCACAACTCATCAAGTTGTCAGTGTAGCTTATTGGCTTTAGAGTTAATGAGGCTTGGTATCATGTAGGTATTCAATACCAAATACTTCTTTTCTATCCATGCTGCCAAGGTTCTACAAACTAAATATATTTAGAGCTTTTTATTGTTGTTTAAAGACAGTGGACTCGTCTGAAAGTCTTTGACTACGTCTTTATTGCTGGATTCATCTGATCAGCTCATTTTACGGTCTCACGCTCAGGCTCTTTTATTTCCTTATAAGTTCACTTCTGCACAAAAAGGAAAAGTTATTTTCACACGTCAGCCTGGCTCTGACACACACACAGCCTCTGAGGCTCTGGGCACGTGTTGGACGCTCAACATGCGCCTCTGATAACTGGCAGACGCTGCAGTCTCCACATTTTTGACAGACTGATTGTGTTCCAGAGAATGACATCAACACCAAATGATTCAACAATAACTCTGGTGTTTGTATGTTTTACAATTACGCTCACTTTGCCCTTGACTGTGCAAGCCAAGTGAAATGACTTCAGCGCTGCGAGCTTTGCCAAGCTCCACCTCGACTGTGTGTCTAACAAGATGTTTTACCATATCTTTCCTGTCCTCTTTGGGTTTTTGCCTTCATAACATTCCATTTGGATTTTGTATTGCTTTTTTATTGTTATAATTTTTTTAAACATTGATGGTGTTTCTGTAGATCCAGAGTTGCATCCTCAGTTAAATTTCAGTTCCATTTATTGAATGGTGGTTGACTTTCTGTCATACAAGGAGGGGTTCAACTGTTAACAACTTAAAGGCAGAGTTCTTTTTCCCCCCGTGCCAGTTTTCATTTTGTTCACAATGTCACAATGTATTTTATAAAGTGATTCCCAATGCAGCCGTTGTCCTCTCACATCTGCAGAATGACTGAAGTCAGAGAGATTCTACTCTTCTGCGTTGCATTCAAGTACAAGAGTGAGTGAGTAATTTTTGGATGTGTTTTGGAAGTGGTCGGATGTGTCCGTCAGTTTGACTGACTGCTCTCTGATGAAAATATTTGTCAGTTCTGTGTCAATTTGTTGTTCAATGTTTATGCCATTTGTAAACCCAAAATGTACTGTGTTTATTTACGTTATTGTAACATGTTTAAAGCCATTGTTGAGTGTAAATATTGTATGTCAGTCATGATTTCTCATGTTTCGTCCTTTTTTGCAAGCACAGTAAGAACTCATTAGAACGGCTTTGACGGTAAAAACCCAAATAAACTAGTTGGGGAAGTTAACTTGTCATAACATGTAGGTTAAAACATTCAGAGACAAATGTTTGTGGGAAATATTTAAATCTGAGATTTTGTGGACGACATCAGAGCCAAATAAAAGATCCTTTTTGACTGTTAATAACAAGTTGTTTTCATTTCAGTTTCACTTTGAGTTTCTAAAGTTTCAAAAACAGAAGAAAAAATATCAAAACACATGGTGTTAAAGAGGTCAATAAGAGTTCACAAGTATACACATTTTGAGCTCTGTGATGTATTTGAATAAATAAATCACTTTGTTGTTTTCTGGCCTTTGATATGAGTGTGCCTAAAGCTCAATCTGCAAAACATAACTCCGCCTGTAACAGAGACACCAAACAAGGACTTTGATCATTTAAAATATTCTAATTTGGAAACAGCTTTTATCATCATCCTACTGCAGTCAAATAACAAAAAAAATATGTAATAATGAGAAGTGTGATGAAAGCAGGAAAGTTAAGAAAACCAGGGTCAAAAACATCAAAGTAAAAGGCCCGTACTTTACTCAAAAACAACAACTGGTTGGTAACATTGTTTTTAACAAATAAATTGTGTGAGGTGGGATGTGTAGGGTATGTCAATTATCTCGTTTCCGATCCTAAAATCTTCTAATTTCACAAGAGGGTCTGCTCTTCTGTTGAAACAAAAAAACGTCACAGCCACCTCTCAAGGTTGTTCAACACTGCCACCTGGCGGACAACTCCGGTCATCACAAAAACTCCCTCACTCCTCCCTTTATTACGAAATATGTTTCACTCGTTTTTGCGTGTCTTACCTGTACTGCTACACCAGCGTCGTGACTTGTCACCAGTAATTTAGCTTCTGTTAAGTTATCTAAGCATGAGGATGAAATGGGAAATTTGGGAGGAAGTAGCTTGTTCCGGGCCCTGTTGCCAGGCAACCTGACTTAAAGTTGTAGCATATGAATCCGGTAACACATTTCAAAATAACATGTTGTGTTAATTATGTCGGCTACTTAATGGCGTCTGACCATATTATGATTGAAAGCTCTATGTTTTTGCTTGTCCGGGTGTACCTATCTCTGAAGATCACACAACACTTTAATGCAAACCTCAACATGATTGTTTCTGGCACCATGGTTGTGTTTTTGGTGTTAGAAATAAATGAGTCAGTTTATCAATATAGTCAATCAGTTTCTATATAATTTCATTAAAAAAAAAAAAAAACAGTTGGTGAAAAATGAATTTGACATTTTGTGCAGCTTGTGTGAACCAGTTTCTGTAGTAAACACCAGACCCCTCTGAGTGTCTGCCCATCTATCTCTGTTCTTACATCAGCATGGTTGAGTGTGGGGGGTGTGTGTGTGTGTGTGTGTGTGTGTGTGTGTGTGTGTGTGTGTGTGTGTGTGTGTGAGTCATCTGTTGATGACTGCACTTCTATGGGATTAGTGGCCACATGACAACACTGGGCTGGCTGCCTGGCGAGTGAGCCTTTCATTTGGCTTCCCTTGCAGAGGCACTGTGAGTGTGTGTGTGTGTGTGTGTGTGTGTGCTGTCCAACAGTTTACTGAGAGCTGGAGATTTGCACACTTTATTTTTGTGGATCTGTAAATGAAGTCTAAACCAGACAGCCTGGAAGCTCAATTGAGATGGCGCAGGACATTACCAGCATAGCGGAAGAGGACTTTTTTGAGGGGACAGCAGCCTGCTGTTCAGATTCAGAAGCTTTGACCCAGGGAGACAAAGAATATGAGGATATTTTGGAGCTTAACCAGTTCGATGGACTGCCGTATTCCTCCAGGTTTTACAAGTTGCTAAGAGAAAGGAAAGAGCTGCCTGTGTGGAGAGCTAAATGTGAGTTCATGGATACTTTGGCCAAAGGACAGTTTGTGGTTGTCAGTGGCTCTGCACAAACTGGGAGAAGTTCTCAGGTGAGTACAGAGAGGGATTTGACAATTAGCATTGCACTACCATTTGAAATATCACATGTTTAACTGTTCATTTGACATACTTAAACCCAAAGGACAAAGGAGTATTTAACATTCAAGAAAAGTAAACAAAGACAGCAAATACAAGTTGATTATAAATGATACAAGAACTTATGGTTAAAACAAGATTAAAAAATAAAGACGTAAAAAAGAAAATGGAAGAAAGTCAGTGAGTGGTTTCAGGGAATCATTCTGTTCGTTCTGTCTGGCAGTGTCACACTTTTTTGTTGTTTACTAAAGTGAGAGATTGAAGTTTGAGGTGATTTTGAGTATTTGTGTTCAAAAACTTTGCTTCCAGAATAACCAAGAAAATCAGAGTCTGAAGACCTTACCTTCTTTTCTTGTCATGAAAGTTAATATTCTGCTCAAAAGAAACACATAAACAGAGCTGGTAACTTAAAAAAAAAGTGTGACTGGAGCTCTACCACCTTTTTCTGTATTGTGTTATGGAAGGTACAAGAGGCATCACTGTCTTGCTTACTTGGGTTTCGCACAGTTAGCCCTCTCCTCTTCAACATCTGTGATATAAACAACGTATCCCGCTCTTATTTCTAAACAGATTCCTCAGTGGTGTGCTGAATTCTGCCTGTCAGTCCAGTTCCAGCACGGCATGGTGGTTTGTACCCAGACTCACTCACAGCAGGCGGTAGATCTCGCCTTAAGGGTGTCTGATGAGATGGATGTCAACATCGGCCATGAAGTTGGGTACAACATCCCTTTGGAGACCTGCTGCGCTAACGATACAGTCCTCAGGTAAACCAAAGCACTTCTTCCTACTTCTACTGAGGATAAAACGAGTGTTTCTCTAACTGCTGGTCACTTCTACGGGGTTTTAATAAAGCACCACCAAGGCACACAATACTAAATCACCCCGCCTTTTTTCACTCTCAAGAGAGAAGTGAACAATAGGCTGGAGGGTCTTTTCAGGGGGCTCCTCCACAGCTGCCCGGCTCCCTGTCTGCCCATATGTCTCCTTCCCTCATGTGGGTGCCTCATAAGTCAGCTGGGGAACAAAGACAACTCAGCATGCAGAGGGCAGGCAGATAAAATGAACAGCAGTCAGCAAGTAGGCAAGGATCCACTACCCACACTAATTATTAGAGTAAATTACTCTAATGGGGACACAGCTGATGTGTGGACAAAGTGTTTTTCATTAAGGTGCTACTCTTTCAGCCTGGAGGTTTACTGTGAAAGAAATCTGAGAATTTATTTCAGGCTATTGTGATTTGATTTTATTTGATTATTTTTTTGAGAATTTGATGACAGAAGCTGGTTTTCAAACATTGGTATGTTACTTACTATCCAGTAAGTGGTTTATCAGGCTTTTAGAGCAACGCTATTTTTTTTTTTTTTAGATTTATTTTTGGGCTTTTAATGCCTTTGTTGTAGAGACAGGACAGCGGTTAGAGTTGGAAATCAGGGAGAGAGAGAGAGAGTGGGGCACGACATGCAGGAAAGGAGCCACAGGTCAGATTTGAGCCTGGGCCGCCCGCTTGGAGGACTATAGCCTCTGTACATGAGGCGCACACACTTAACCACTATGCTACCGGCGCCCCGCAACTTTTACTACTTTTGACAACCTCAGCACTGACAAAGCATCAAACGAACAGAAAAATAAGGAAGCATAGGCTGATAAAAATTCAATAAAATTGGAGGGATAGAGAGGAAATAAGAAACACGGAGGAAACATCGGAGGTGCAATTAAATACAAAACACAAGCAAAAAAATGTTCAAAACAAAAAGTAGAAAATGAGAAAGTAGAAACTTAACAGATTAAACAAAAAAAACACAAAAGCTAAGGAGAGAAAACAAAGAGGAAATGGTCAAAGCAGAGAAAAAATTAATTTGACAAAAATTGAAAAGGTCAAACAGAAAAAATCAATGGGCACAAAAAAAGTGAAAGGAGAATGGTGAGGAGGTGGTCGAGTTGGGGTCAGGTTGGGCGAGGTTGGGCATTTGGGAACCCCAGTTGGTTTTTAAGGCTGTAACTCTACTACAGATGATGAGAAGGTGAAGTGGTGGGAGGGGAATCACCTTTTAAAGGATGTTTTTTTTTTTCCCCATCCATAGGTTCTGCACAGACGACATGCTCCTGAGAGAGATAATGTCGGACCCATTGCTCGAGCGGTACGGGGTCGTGGTCGTGGACCAGGCCCACCAGAGGACTGTGGCCACTGATGTTCTCCAGGGTCTCCTGAAAGACATCGCCCTGCAGAGAGCGGACCTCCGCGTGGTCCTCCTCACAGCTGTCGAACCAGTGCCAAAGCAGATGAAACACTTCACCGGGTCTGCGGTGCCTCTGATCCGCCTGGAGAGCCCGGGTGCTGGGGAGGTGGTTTACAACAGCACCAGTGACGGATACTTCTGCGCCGCGCTCCGTCTGGTGCTGGAGATCCACCGCTCTGAAGAGGACGGAGATGTGGTTGTGTTTCTGGTGACAACGCAGGTAAAAGAAGAATCACATAACCGATGAAACAAACAGTCTAAAATAATTTGTTTTGTATCATATAAAATCATTTTTGAATTTTTTCTGAAATATTTACAACTGTGTCAAACCGTATTGTAGTGTACAGCAAGGCATCGTATTGTACCGCACACATCTGAGCTCTCTTCTTGTCCTTTCGTCAGGAGATAAATCTGGCCCACGATATTCTGTGTCATGAGGCGCACGCTTTGGCCCCTGACCTGGGGGAGCTCCTGCCCGTTGCTGTGCACCCCCGTCAGCCCGGGAGTCTACCTAACCCGGGGGAGGCGGGTACCAGACGGAGTCGTCAAGTGTTCCTCACATCCAGTCCAAACGAGGACTTCTTCTGGGCTGTTAACTCGTTAAGCTTTGTCATTGATGCAGGGCTGGAGAAGAGATATGTAAGTGTTGCTGCTGATCTAGACGCCCATATAGAAGTGGAAATGTTGATTTGATGGTCTTCTTCAAATTTAAAATGACAGAACAGCAAGCCATGTAAAGTCGACTTTATTATAATATCAGTATCAGTTAGTTTCCTTTAATTCACTTTTTATGGAATATATTGTATTGCAGAATAGAGTATGTCATCATAATAAACAACAACTAGGGAGAGATATATATTCAGGTGGTTTACTGAAAGGGCTTGATATTAAAAAAAAAGTACTCTTGCATAAGCAGAAAAGTAGCTCATATTTCATGCATTATTAACCTTTTTGATTTATGAATATGTAATTGGTATTCTAATTAAGCTAGTTCAGCTGGAGTTCTGCTCAACCTTCTGTGCAAAGTAACTGTGATTTTGTTTCAGGTTTACAACCCCAGAATCAGAACAAACTCTGTCATCATTCAGCCAATCAGCACAGTTCAAGCTTTGAGTCGCAGACAGCTGGCAGGTCCAACAGGTGAGAAGATAAAAAAATAAAAAAAAAAAAAAATACTTGTCCAGGCTGACAAATCCCTGCCTCTGTGCCGTCCATGCTAACAAAAACGATCTTTCTGTTTGATAGGGAAGTGTTTTTGTCTGTACCCAGAGGACAGACAGCTTCCTGCTGAGATCCGCCCTCATATTGTGGAGTCTGATATCACCTCCACCGTACTTTTCTTAAAGAGGATGGAGATCGCTGGACTGCGTCAGTGTGACTTCATCGACAGACCAGGTGAGATTAACAAAAAAGTGACAAAATAAACAGAGACTATATTTCCCAGGCAGCCTGTACTTGCCATGTCCTCTGTGATAATGAGATAAATTCATGGTTCATTCAGTCCATTCATTTGTGTTCAGAAAGACAGGAGGTTTTTTTTTTTATTTTTTATTGGAGGGTAGTGAGCCGTGCCTCAGCTAAACTGACAGCTCCTCTTCTGCCAGCATCCTTTTAGGGCTGACCTGCTTCCGTGTGCTTTTGTTTCCCCGGATTTATTCACCCCCACTTCCAAACACACACACACTCACACATTCTGAACCTCCCATTAGTTGATCAGAGTGTAGACATAGTGTCGGCATGTGGGAGTGTCCATTCGGCTTTGTTTTCCTGTTGTGTTCATCAACAAAAAAACAAACATGTTTGCTGAAAGGACAGAACAGAAAATGTCATTTGTACCACGAGCGGCTCTTCATTTAGCATAGTGATGCATGGCAGATGTTGGTTAGGATTTTAATCCTAATCTTCTGCTGCCTTTTTACTCAAAGCGTGCCCACCAGGGTGCCAGTATACTGTAGGAGGGATTGTCCCAGTGGGTCAACATTTGGGATTATGAATAGTCCAAAATAGATTAGTCAAAGTGTATATGTATGTAATTAATAGTCGAGGAAAAATACTAGACTTATGTTGAATTTTGCACCCAAATTAAGAACCAGGGTTATTATTCAAAATGTAGAAATCTATAAACCTTTGTCCCGTCAGACCCTGAAGGCCTCATGCAGGCTCTGGAGGAGATGGACTACCTGGCAGCTCTGGATAACGACGGGAACCTGTCTGAGATGGGCATCATCATGTCCGAGTTTCCTCTGGAGCCCCAGATGGCCAAAACCCTGCTCGCGTCCTGTGAGTTTGACTGTGTCAGCGAGGTGGTCATCATAGCTGCCATGCTAACAGGTAACGTAACGTGTACAACACTACAACAATACATACAGATAGGTTAGAGCAGATAAAATAATTTGATAGAGAAAAAATATAAGACTCAAAAAGGAAAGAAAAAAAAAAGGTTGGTTAAACATATGAAAACAACATTTACGCTCATGATTGAAGATTTACTGAGTACAGCACTATTCATCTACAGAAAGCAAGATATATATATATATATATATATTTTTTATATTTTTTTTTACTATTTTGCCATTTGTCAATCTGTCTACAGAAAATGTGTTCATATGAGCCCTCTGTGAACCTCTCCCAATAAAATGTTTTTTTCTGTTGGTGTGTCTCATTGGGTTGACAGTATTTTTGTTGTTGACATTTTAGCACCCACTTGCTTCCTGGTTCCCTCAGTGGACCTGAGGCCAGAGGCGACCCAGTGTCACATGAAGTTCCAGCACCCAGAAGGAGACCACTTCACCCTGATCAATATCTACAAGGCCTTCAAACAGTTCCAGGAGGATCCATGTGAGTTTAGAGAGAATCATGTACAATGAAACAAACACATTTGCACACACACACACACACACACGCAGACGCTATGGACGTCTCTGTCTTCATCACTGATTTCGTCCTCTAATAAACCTCTCTTTGTCAGACTGTGATGTGGAAAAGTGGTGTCAGGATTTCTACCTGGACCACTCCGCTCTGCTGATGGCCGACGCTCTTCGCACTGAGTTCTCAGACACTCTGAAGAGGATCGAGCTGCCCGTCTCAGTGCCGGCCTTTGGTTCTCGTAGCAACACCCTCAACATTAAGAGAGCTCTGCTGGCAGGTTTTTTCATGCAGGTCAGTAACCATAACTCTATAAGACAACCAAAAGTAAAGCAAATATAAACGGAAAATACTTTTTTTTTTTAAATAATAGCAGCAAACACCAGCAGAAGCACCAATGCAGTAATGTGGGATGTGCTGTGTAATGTCATTCTGATATTAGTTTCCCCAGTTACCAATCGCAGAATATTGATTAAAACATTATCAGCTCCTCAGGATTTTGGTTTTGACTCTTGTTTCATTTGCAGCTGTTTCTGTCCTTTAACTATTTCAAATGTTTTAACCAAAAGTTTTCAGATGAACAACAGAAGTAAACTTTCATCTGAGGATGTATGCCTTTAATTAGAATTAGAGTTAGAGTGGATAGAGTCAGAAATTGGGGAGAGAGAGAGAGAGTGGGGAATGACATGTGCGAAAGGAGAAATGGATTGGATTTGAAGCTGGGCCACCCACTTGGGGGACTAAAAGCCTCTGTACCTGGAGCGTGCGCACTAACCACTAAGCTACCGGTGCCCCCTAGTTTGTTAGTGTTTGTTGGTGTTTTAAAGCATTTTTAAGCCAAATTAGTTATTTTACTAACTACAAGTTACATGTTTGGGGTTGGGTTGTTATTTTATTTGTTTTAAGCTAACACAGCTGACTCTGATATTGTTCAGGTGGCTCGGGACGTTGATGGATCAGGGAACTACTTCATTCTGACCCACAAGCATGTGGCACAGATGCACCCTCTGTCCGGCTACGGAGCAAAGAGTCCCAAACTGGGCCTGCCGGAGTGGGTGCTGTACCACGAGCACTCATTCTCTGAGGACAACTGTCTCCGCACTGTATCCCACATAACACCCGAACAGTAAGTCTAATAAGCCTTGTTAACATTGTATTCACACAACAGACCATACAGAGTCTTTTCATCTAGACTGAGGTCGAAAGTAATCAGACAGACACATTCCATCTCCCATTTGGACCATGTGTAAATTCAGAGTTCATGCTGGTTTAGAGGGGAGGTATCATAATCCTGTCTGCGAGTATCAGCTGGTTGGAAAGGGGATTATGGATTGCATAGATCCCTGGGAATGTGGGAGCTGCAGATTAATGAGAAAGAGAAAGCTCTGCAGACTTTGTCATGCTCTCTTAGGTTCCACATGCTAAACTGTGAGACTCCATTTATTACAGCTCAAATAATGTCAGCAGCAGATACTGTAAGCCCCTTTTAAATACTGTAAATCTTCTTTCAACAACAATGGCAGCCACTCAAAAGCAACCCAAATTGAAAACGAGATTGCAAATGGATATTAGATTTGCATCAGTTACTTCCAAGATGAATTCCTTGTTTTCCCTCTCCTGCTTATAACCAACTATATTGGCCGTTCTCTTGCTAGGTTCATTGAGATGGCTCCTCAGTATTTCTTCTACAATCTACCAACAAGTGAGAGCAAAGACATCCTGCAAAATATTTTGAACCACGGAGCAGCTGGGTACCCAGAGGAGAAACATCAAACCTCTAAAGAAGAAGCGCGGGAGGAGACGTATGACCGCTGCGTTGTACAATGACTCACTGAGTCACTGACCCCGCCGTTGCACAAAATGTCATCACAGCACACTGTCAGAATAGTTGTGAGACTGATTATGTCATTTCATGCTTTTTTTTAGATGTTATTCTTTCATTTGTGGCCGTCTTTTCTCGTTTATTAATCTCAATATAACTTGTATTTATATTTGATTAAAGTGCACTACTGTATAAAATAAAAACAAGAATTGTTGTTCTAATGTGGATTCTCAGTGTCCAATTATTTATGATTGTACTGAATCCTCCTCAACAAAGAGGTATGGTTTAGAAAAGTCCAATTCTCTCTTTTAACGCTTAAAATGCCAAATCTTCCTAAAGATAATGTGACAATGTAGAGAAAAACAGAGTGACTTGGAGTTTTTCTTGTGATATAGAGAGCCAAAAAGCACATTGAAGTCTACAAAGCACTCTTTTTACGGAAAAGGATTAGGACAAAAAAAAAAATTCTGAGAGAAAAACTAAAATCTGGAGAGAAAAAAAAGATACTCTCCTTGAATTCTACTAAGTGTATTATTTAGTGTCACTTTTTCCACTGACTATTTTAATAAATGTGCGGCTTCTGCTCCTCTTTTTTACCCCACATCTTAACCTCAGTCGAACAGTCACTCACCCACAGCAGCACAGAAGGTCCGGCCTGATTAATGAGGTGCAGTTTGTGCTGCTTGCAGCTCCATCTGGCGTGGATACAGTTCAGTAACAGTTGGCTGACCCACTTCACTGACACCACGTTGAAAACATTGTGTTCCCTCTGCAGTAACCAACCGGAACAGTGCAGTAAGATCATATTTCAGGATACACAGTGAAGAGTTGCCTGACTCTGTCTTTTTGTACTTTTATCTAAATTTTCATGTCAATCAAAGTGAAAGACCTTTGACATTTCATATCAAGGTTTTCTAGATTTAAAGTTGATATATTTTGTATTGTCTTCTTGTCAAAACTGTATAAAAGAGAGACATTCATAATGCTGTTTTAAGCTTATATACCCACACATGGTGTCCTTTTTGTCTTCCAGAGCTTCATTAGAAGGTAGTTGATTAACTGTATTTGTCACATTAAATGGAAAAGGTTGCTCCATGAGAGAGAATGTCATTTTTCCATTATAAAGATTTATTAAAGTGTCCATCCTTTCCAGAGGGTCAGATTTGTACACTTCCAGGAACAAGCAGTTTATACACTTTAAGTCTTTTACTTTGAATTGACCTTTAGGGAGAACCCTCCATCCATTGTCTCTACCGCTTATCCCCTTCAGGGTCACTGGAGGGCTGGAGCTGACCTGTCATTAGGCGGAAGTCGGGGTACACCCACGGACTGGTCGCCTGTCAATCACAGGGCTGACATTTAGAGACAGTCAAGTCCTCACACTCCTACCTAAGGTAAATTTAGAGTCACCAATTAGCCTAATGAGCATGTCTTTGCAGTGTGGGAGGAAACCGGAGTACCTGGAGAGAAGCCACACATGCATTACAACATGCAAACACACACAGGCAAAAGTCCGAAGTGATTTGAACTAGAAACCTTCTTGCTGTGAGGAAACAGAACTTTTCCACTACACCACCGTGTTTAAACAACAATATTCTGTTTAAATGTCGAGATTAATAACAAAATATAAATCCAGTGTGTTTCATCATACAGCATAAGTTATTCAAATATTAGTGTTTTTAAAATAACTTTCAACTCAATGTATAACAGAAGTGTGTGATCAATGTGATGCTGAAACATCCAGAAAGTACTTTGCACAAAATGTAAAAAAAACTTTTATTTTCATGTCACAGCAAACCATGCTGACATAAGCTCACATCAACATAAACAGCATTGTGGACTCACAAACCTCAGAGTTTGCATTGAATGTTGCCGAACTATTGCACATTTCTGTTTTGGAAAGCAAACACGGTGTTCAAGCTCATTTTGACTCGTCAGCCCAAAACTTCAGTTCAATCCACGGCATCATTGGTGTTATTGAATATCAAAAACCACCAATCAGAAAAAAACTCAACTAAATCATTTGTCAAATGATTTTCTAAATGTTGTATCTCTCGAAAAGCCCCTATGAGTAGAAGTTGAATGTGATTGTACTCGTTTGCGTTTGTCGTGTGTTTCTGTTAGTAGAAAAGTGAGGCAACCCAGGTGATGTTCGGAACGGTAAACAACAAATCCTACACATAGGAGCTTTACACATGACAAAGAACTTTTTTAAGAAATACTGAAAATTAAATAACATCTTCTAAATTGAAAAGTCTTTTAACAAAAATGTACAATTGAAAACCTGTGATGCAAATGTTAGAAAATGATTGGTTTATTTAAAGGCGCAGGAGGTGAATTAGCTTTGAAACTGTAATTCAGTGTCGCCTGAGCATGTGCCTGTCAGAAATGATGGCGTCCAAGTGTTTCCAAGAGCGGGTGCAGAGAGCTGAGTTAAAGTTCTTTCGTGTATTCCTTGCTATTGTTTAATGAAATCATCATGAATGTGCCCCCCTGTCGTCACTTTCGGTTTGTGGAGTCAGCTGCTGCAGGAGCTCGATGTAGAGCGAGACACGACTCAGGAGAGGGGCAGTTTTCTCAGCTCGCAGGAGCTTGGAGTACACATTCTTAAAGGTCTTCAACAGCTCCTCGTCCTTATTGCTGTAAGAATACAAATAAGTTGATCAGGAGGGAGAATTATTATAGTTATGGACACATACTGTTTCATTGGATTTGACCATAAAGCAGGCCAATTGAATCATTATTTTAGAAAGGTCAGAGTTGACAAAGGTGAAGTGCCAAGGAGACAAACATCTTACATGTAGACAAAAGTGCCAGATTGAGGTCATTAAAAAGGCCACACTCCACCCACCAGTTAGAAAAGTCTGCAATAAAGGTTGAAGATTCTTGCTCACCTTGGTTTCCGTTTCATTGTCGTCATCAGTTTGATCAGCTGCAGCAGCAGGAAGGAGAAACTCGGCTCAAACACGCCTATCAACTTCATCACTTCCTGGAGGTTCAGTCCAGAGGACGGGCCGCTGGTCACATCGATAGAGTCTGCTGATTCAGCAGGTTGTGGTTCACTCAACTGCGGGACAACAAGTAAAAAATTGTTCAAGTGTAAAAGGAGATGGAGAAAATCTGAAGAGGCATAGAGATTGTTGCCTTGTGCTCTTCTAAAGCTCACCTCTAGCTGTTCCTCCAGCAGCTCTTTATGAATCATCTGGAAGGCAAAGCGAGTTTCTGTCATGATCTCCATCGCTCCGGTAAGGCTCTTCAGCTTTGCTGCGCTGCTGCTCTGACCTGTGGAGGGACAACATGAATCATTGCATGTTCTTTAAATCAGTCTTTCACTAAAGACAACACCATCACATTATTCACCCTGACAAACTGTTTCTCACCTGCCATGGTAAACTCAGCAAAAGCCACCCGCTCCAGCAGCGTGCGGAGCAGCTCACAGGGAGCGTCTTTAAGGCTGAGGAACAGACAGACAGCCTTACTGTAGTGAAGCTCTGCCTGACTGCGATGCTGCTTCCTCAAGTGTTCATCCCCCACCTGTCACACAATCAGAGCCACAGACACACACACATAATGCTCTAAGTAGGAAATGCAGACACCCTTCTCACAGCAAATAAAACCAAAGGAATGTTTTTGTCAAAAGTTTGAGCTAAGAAATAATTGTTTTATGTCATATATAAACAGTTTTCTATTATTATTATTATTATTATTATTATAATATACTTGGACATAGTTTAGTACCTGGTTGCGGAAGCAGCTGTGATACATGGAGGCCAGGCGGTGGTGGATGGTGGCAGCTCTGTACTGGTAGAGTGGCTGACGAGCTGACTCAGTCTGCAGGTCACAGTATCTCAGGGACTTCATCATCGCCTCGGTAACCTCACGCTCGATCTGGGGAAAACAGACACAGGGATGGATGGTTTAAAAGATGGATGACATTTCTAAGGGTTACAAGCGGTTATTACATATGCACTCCTGAAAACTTCCAGAAAATTTCTGGCAGGCTGGCCCTGAAATCTTACCGACTTGCATATGCACCATAATGGGGGGGGGGGGGGGTAATGCAAGAATGGTGGATACAGATTCTGATGCTATGATGACATTTTTTTTGTAGGTTTATTTTATAGGCTTAATTGCATTACTTTGAGACAGGAAAGGATAGAGTCAGAAATCAGGATGAGAGACTGTGGAATGACGTGGGGAGGAGCCAGAGGTTGGATTTGAACCCGGGCTGCCCGCTTAGCAGACAGAAAATATAGAGGCACAGAATATTTTTCTTCCAGGTAAACTTGGAGTGAAAAGTCTGTCCGTTTACAAGTTTTGCGCTTATCTGACACAAAAAACTGATAATGTACAGACAACATGTTTAGCTTTTGGCTGAAATGTTCAAAACGTCAATGGTATTGTTAGTATCAAAGAAATTAAGGTCGCTTTTAAACTAAAAAATATGCCACCCAGTGGAGAAAGAAATAACGCAAACATGCTAAGGAGTTCACAGTTAATTATTTGGTGAAACTCACCTGCTCCTGGGCCTTCCTGGACAGCGGGGCGTAGTCCTGCAGGAGAGTCGCCAGGGTGAAATAAGTGGTGGAGAGTTCCCAGTTCACACTGTCCCACACCGCTGGGTGGCTATCTCGGCTTGTCAGGGCCTTTATGGCTCTCAAATAGTAGTCTATGGCCTGTATTCAAGATTTAGATTAAGTATAATACACACATACATAAATAAATACATGAAACCTATAATGGGTATTTTTTTTAACTTTTGAGAATAAAGAGTAAGAGTGCAATGTAACTCAAAATCATTTTTTTTATGAAACTACTATTTATATAAAAATGTTCTTCCTTTCTTCCCCCTCAACTTATATGCCATCTAAGATAGCTGCATAAATTGTTTATTTGTAGAAAGAATATTCACGTTCATGTAATGAGATGAACACTTAGGGAATGACCTAACTTCTTTGTGCACTTCAGTGTATTTCTGAAAAGGCATACAGAGTTTGACATGTCACCTTGTTGTAGTAGAGCGCCTCCTCTGGTGAGAACTCTCCTCTGCTCTGGTCGGCAGAGACAGCACAGTGAGCCTGAGCACAGATTCTCATCAGCCTGCCGGTGTTACACAGCAACAAGGCCGTGTTGGTTCTGTCCCTAATGGCTTCAAAGTCCTTCATGCCTTTCTCAAAGAAAGCAAAACTCTTTTTCCACATCTCCTGCTCCACGACTGACACAGACTTTTTCACTAGAAGGAAAGAAGAGAGTGGGAATTTAAATGAAATAAAATACAGTGTTTTTCACTTTATATTTGCAAAGAGACAGTTATATTGTTCTGACTATTTCACTGGAAAACATCAAAATTTCAACATGTCTTTAAACACATCAATAAATACGCACATCAGGCTGTCTTCATTAAAAAGATGGTTTTCAAAAGAAGGCTGGCTATCTGTTTAATATTTGAGCATACCTTCTTTCTCAGTCTGCATGGCTGCAGCCTGGTTCATGTAGAAGACTCCCATCTCATTGCGGATGTTTCCCAACCTTTTGAGCACCGGAGCCAGCTGATCGGAGTCGTGATCTGTCAAAGCCTCAGAGACGAGCAGTTCATACGCCGCCTCATAGCATTTACTGCTAACAAACAGCTGGTACTCCGGGTCCATGGCCAGGTCTGTCGCCATGTTGAAGGCTAGTGGGTGGAGAGGTAAAGCATGATCAAAAACCTAAACAGAACACCTTTTAGTTTCTTTACCAGCCTTTCAGGGGGTGTAATTAAAAGCCACCTTTATGGATTAGTTGTAACACCCTTAATTTCTGTATATCAGACAAGAAAGCATCATTGTGTGTTGGAGATTTGGATGATTGTTTTTCTTTACTGACTGACCCTGGCAGCTGCTCTCTCTGTGCAGGCTGTGCAGGATATCCTGGTCCTCTTTGGTCTGGTAGCTGTACTCCTCCTGGTAGGCAGCTCTGTTGTTAGCATTCTGGGCCAACATCAGCTGGATGTCCCCACACAGAGACAGGCACTGGCTGTGAAACTGAAGCACCTGTGGGTGCAGCGTTCCGCTCACTGAACAATAGGCATCTGGCAGAAACAATTGAAGGTAGGGGGAGGGGGGGGTGTGAAGAAAAATAAGTGTTGAGTCATTGTGTTGCTTTATACACTTGTAATTTGTATCAAAGTAAACTGTTATTATTACATAAGGTGATGTAATTGTAATAATTCCAAATATTATAATTGTTAGTTCTAATTATATAATAAAGTATATAAGTATAAAATAAAGTTTCAAGTTTAATAGGATATAGATCAATAAAGAAAACAGTAGTTTATGGCATAAAAACAATTTCAATTTGAGCTGGTAGAAATAAAAAAATAAAACAAAATTGAGGCAATATCTATAAACAAATTGACATTAGCTCTATATTCCTGGAGTATAACAAGGTTGAAAAAACTTACCATAACTTTGCAGAGATAACTTGATGTAGCGCAGGGCCCGCCCGTACTTGAGCAGGTTAGTGGCTGCATCAGACAGGACATAGTAGGCCTTGGAGGCTTTGAGGAAGAGCTGGAGCTTCATACGGTGCTGCCACGAGCCGGGGATCATCCCTGAGCGTGTCGGGTGCTTCTGGTCCGCCTGCAACGGCCCGGCTGGTGACAGACATGCACGACCACCAAAGAGAGACACGGGTAGAGTTAACAGACGGAGAATGTTTGTTGGTGGAAATAAACGTAATATGTGCTATTATATAGTCAATCCTTCATATTAAAGGACTGCAGACTGACCTCTTTCAAGAAGCAGGGAGATGCCTGTCTCGGCAGCGCAGGCTCCGGCTGCACTTCTGTCCTCATACTTAAGTGGAATGGGTGTGTTTGGGTCTGCAGCTGGGAGATCACTCTCCTTCTTAATGCTGCCATCTACTGCCTTGATCCCCTGTGTAGTGTATTACAGCTATTGTTAATACAGTAGATGACAACTAATAAAATGCATTGTTTTTGCTCTTAAAAAAACATTCCGCATGGACTCACCTTAAGTACGTAGCTCAAGACGTGTCTGCATCTCTCCTCCTTGTTTTGAGAAACAGGGAAAGGGCCACTTGGCTGCAGGGACACAGAAAAAAAAAAAAAAAAAAAGATTATTTCATGATCACGTACCACATTTGTATCTTTATTTTCCACATTTTGCCTTGAAGTCTGTGTAAATGAAGAGCATTTCTAGCAAGGCACTCACTCTGATCTGGTGAGTAGATTTATATTTCTCTGGGACCGACAGCTCCCCGACAGAGCGAATCACGGCCACAGCTTTACTGTCGTCCTGTGATCTGGAGCAAGAGCTGTAGGAGCTGTTCTCGTCGCTGTCCTCCGTCAGCTCCGCCTCCCCCTCCTCCTCCCCGTCTTCATCACTGTAGCTGTCCTCGGAGCCCCCGGCCCGAAGTGACTCCCCTCCGTCCTCTTGAGGAGGCTCATCAAGCTGGAACAGCTCTGAGAGCATGTAGTGGGCCGAGGCGATGATCTGAACAGAGGGGAGAATGACTGGAGTCAGGATGGATTCAATCTGATCGTAAGTCTTGGATTTTGTCCAGGTCTATGTTTTTGTTGCCCATCATCTCCTTTCTTTAATGTCTCCCCCTTACTCTATGATGTAACTGTAAGTTGGACCTACCTGGGGATGCCTCTCTTGGTCCAGAAGTTTGACACAGTTTAAAAGCAGAGTTCTGATTGTGCCGTAGTGCTTTTGGTTCTGTCTCGCTTTCAGCATCAAGTTGCTGGCAACTCTGCACCATGAGACAAAAAGGAGACAAAAAGATGTTACAAGTTGCTCTTTTGTCATAATGTCTGAAGTAACCAACAATACTCAAAGAAAAGGATAACAGCAAGTTGAACATGGCTGACAATAAAAAATAAATGTCATTATGGAAAATTTGAAAACATAGTACATTTTAAAGAACTACTTGGATTTACTTTGATACTTTTACATTTTAAAGGGATCTTACTAAATCTAAATTTAGCCCTGGCACTTAAATCCTTAAATGAAGCACATTGGCATCCTTACATCGGCCATATCATTGTTAAAGCTCAAACAGGCCCCTCTCATGAGTATTTCCCAGATACTCACTTGTATAGTAACACAGCCACAGGAAGAGTAAAGGGATTCTGGCATTTCTCTTCCTCAGCCTCCTCACACAGAGTAGTAAGATCATAAAGCTTCACAATGTCACTCCCACTAGCTGTGGGAGAAAAAAAAAACACCATTATAAATGTAGACAAGCTTACAGTTCACAGAACAGGTATCAACGGACATAATAAACAGAATACTTAACACCTGTTGACTCATCTCCACCTTTGAACAGCCAGTAGGTGTGACCCTCTTTGGTGCAGTTTGACTTTAGGAAGGAGAGGATATTTTGAGCGATGTCTTTCACCACCCTCGTTGAGAAAGTGGAGTTCTCTAGATGAGGGATGTCCTCCGTTTTTATCATCTCGTATTTCTGCAAAAAAGCAAAATATGCATCAACTGAAAAATAGAATCCAATACGTCGTCTATATAAAATATGGAAACCTGTTAAGATGATTGTTAACAGGTTATAATAATTATTAGAATAAAGTACAAAGGTGATTTACGTTACCTGGACTATACCATTGACGTGAAAGCACATGACGAGCTCTGGGACGTTACACATGAGATTGTCGAGCCAGTAATCGATACCCGTCAGAATGTTGATTGGTTTGTTGTTGTCCCTGAAAATGTACAGAACAGAAAAAAAGTTAGGTTTTTTCGAGGAAACAGAAGAATGGAGCTGAAACAGCGTCTGACTGATGAGGTTGTCAGACCTTGGGTTCACATTCTGAGGTCTTAAACTTCACTTAGAGCTGAGCTGCAGAGGGTGTTTTTAAACAACCTGTTATAACTTTGAGTGGTCCAAGCACACAGTCTATGTCACTACACGTGTCATTACATTAGATGAAGTAGAATTATCTGTCAGACATTGAATATGAGAAGAAGACAAAGAAGGCAACTATAATTAAATCACAGGTTTACAGTGCAGTTTGTACCGGATAGGACCAAATGGTTTAAAATCCCAACCTGAGTCTCAGACTGACGGCAGGATAGCGACCTCCTCCAAAAATAGGCATGTTGGACCCAACCAACATGTGGATATCCTCGAATGTCCACATGATGTTTCGCACAAAGTCGTTCCTTAAACCCTGTCAAATATAATGATATCTTGTAAAAATGTGCATCCAAGTCAACATCTCACCTTATTTTAATAGTTCACCTTTTAGGAAGTGTTGTCTTACCTGACTATTCTCCCCTTCATTGAAGAGCATCGGCAGGTTTTGCTCTTTGGGCACAGATGTCACCTGGCCAAGCGCGAACTTGCTTTCCATGGGAACACTTTCCTGCGGGGGGGGGGGGGGGGGGGGGGGTAATGGAAGCAGTCAGTGCATGCAGTGCAAACCAACATCCTCCTACATTTCAGATAAGAAGCAATTCTCAACTTGTCTTTTTATTCTATTACACCAAACTGCGTGATCGTCTCAGGAAATGCTGCACCTGTTTCGGAGCGTCTGATTCTTCGGTATCAGACGATGTACTGGTGAAGGCAGTCGGCCATGAAGAACTGAACTCCGCTGCCCTGTTCTCCTCCTCCCCTTCATTCAGGTTGTCTGATACAGGCTCCGCAGCTCCGTCACCATTAATACTGGAAACGACACAGAAGATGTTAAGTGAGAAAAGACGCACCTTAACTCCCATGAAGGGTCCACACTAAGTACTCACCTGTAGTAGAGAAATTTCGACAAGATTGCTTTCTGATACCAGTGCTCTTTACTCTTCTTTTTCCTCTGCCACTTCTGATCGATTAGCCGCTGGTAAAACTCTTTTAGCCATGTCCAATCTCCTGTCTAGAACACACAAAAACAGCACAGAGAATGTAACACTTATGATGCATGAAAGTTACTGCAATGATTCAAGTCTGGGTAAAAGTCCTCCTGTACCTGAGAGGATCTCATGAAGAGCTCTTGAATGTCCAGCTCATCCAAAAGCAGAGTCCTCCCCACACGGTGAACAGCCATACTGACGTGTGACTTGCTGTAGGGTATTTTCAGAAGCTTCTTGATGTTCTGAATGTGACAAAAAAAAAAACAACGTTTATGTCAGTTTTGTAGTGCACATAATATCAGAGATTTAAAAAAAAACATGTTTTGAAGCTTTAGAAGAGCTCAACAAACCTCTGAGTCTGATACCACGTCAACATCATCCCCGATGCAGTCGATGAAGTCATACGCCATCCCAAAACTGCAGAAAAAGGGAAGGGAACTTCATCAAGACACCTACATTGTCTCTTAATCTCATAGTTCACAGTCTCTCTCTCTCTCAGAGTAACCAGTAGTGAAACATTACCTGTGGTCAGAAAAAATATTGAATTGTTTTCCCTTCCAATCAAAAATCAACAGAACAAACGTAAGCAGTGTCCAATTACCGAAGAAGTGTTTTTAATAAGCCATCTCAGGCTATTTCCCTGCCTGAGAAGTTCAAGAGCAGGAGCCTTTTGCTAGCATGAAGGAATTAGAACAATGTGGAAGTGTAGGAAAAAGCTTGATGGCTTGGTGATTGTAATATTAAAGAGTAACTAAATGGTTCATATTAAAACTCTGATTAGAGTGCAATTCTTTTAGGTTGTTGTACCCAATAAGCTCCTTTAAATCAAGGCACTTTAAGGAGTTGTGCAAACTTTTTGCAAGTTTTTTTTTTTTAATATTCTACCAAACCCTGACTGTGCACATTACCATTTACGACGCAATACGGTTGACATTTTGCCAATTATATTTGGCAACAGATTGCACAAGGTGTCCTCAAACTCACAAAATACGGTGATCTGTAGTTTTACAGTTCATGATTTTTCCCCACCACTATGAGCCGGGAAAGGTGGGTACACTCCGGATAATTGTAGTTCTCATAATGCTATACCTGGAAAAAGGTTTGCTCTTGCTGCTGGACCCTAACACGGTGGTTCCGGCGCTGCCCAGCTGGGGGTTTTCTCTCAGCCAGTTTGCGGGCGGCAGCTTCAGGTCTGTCTTCTCCTGCAGCAGGGCATAGCTGGTAGGTGGTGGAGCGGCTGAGTACTTGACTACAGCACGGCTCTTTATTTCAGTGTTTCCAGAGCAGACTGCAGCGTCCTGCAAGAATATACCAATTTAAAGCAGCATATTTGAAGTCATCCTGACAAGGAACCGTGGCTTGGTTTGGAGTTGTTTTATGGACTGTTACTTCTAGGGAAGTTAAGTCAGCAGCTGTTATGTTACATTTTTTTTATCTACAACTAAGAAACTAGCAACAAATATTGTAAACAACAATGCATGTAAAGCTACTGACGGTGCAATAGTTACTGTGTTGTTTCTGAACAGTCTAATTACTTACATGTTTGCTGTTCTCTCCTGTGCAGGTAGGGCCAATGGTATCCTCCATTGCATTATCCAAGAGGGTCCCAGGCTCTCTGTCCCCAGCTGATGCGCTCATACTGGACACCAGACCTTTCAACCCACTAGAACTGGCAATTTGCTGACAACCAGACTACCAATCCATGACCCACAACTCATTGGCTCTGTCTATATATCAGCTAGGCAAGTCGTTTACATCAATAAAGTTAGAGATATATTTAGTTTGCTAGCTTGACTGGCTAACACCTCAGGAATTCAGCGCTTATTCGTAGAGTTAAAAAACAATAATATATAACAGGAAGACGTTTTTTTAATTAAATCTAAAACTCATTCTAAGGGTCGTGCCTTTTCTATAAGTATAAAATAATGTCAAGTCAATACTTAGGTAGTAAAATAGCGTGCACCTTCGTCTCTTCACATCAGCAGAAAGCCTGTGTGTTGTTGTCAGAGCACACGTTAGTCCGTGCAGTAAACGTACAACAACTTCCGGGTTCACGGTAAAACCAGTTCTAAAACTGGTCTTGTTTTTTTTTATTTCGTCCTTCAGAACTACTACGAATTGCGTTAAAATGTAATCAGGAGCATTAATATTTTTCTACGCAAATATGAACTAATTAAAAACGCAAAATATTTCAGATAAAGCTACTTTTAGATAATTTTCTTTAAACCGGAAGTACTTTCTGAGGAACGCAGATAAACTTTCTAGAAAGATTTGGTAGGTTCTCTATGGTTCTGTTCTGTTCCAGTGTATTTTATTCTGAAATTTAGCAACTTGTCATAAGTATTTCGAAAATTATAAAGACACTGACTATTTATGGTAAAAACTGTTCGGTTATTACAGTTTATATTTACAGTCTATGGTTAGTAGCTAAAGGCCTGCAAATATTTAAAAGATAAAGATAAACTTTATTGATCCTCCATGGGGGAAATCTTTTGTATTACAGCAGCTCAAGAAACCAGGAAAAAGGGATAAAATTATTAAAAATAAAATAAAAATCAAACATATGTACATCAGTTAAATAACGGCAGGGAAAAAATACAATAATAGAATAATACCATAAATTAAATAAATCATAAATTATTTCAAAACACCATTATTAAATTAACATTAAACGGAAATGTCATATTATAATATTATATTATATTGACTAATATTATGTTATATTATATAATGTTATATTGTATTGTATTATTGTATCGTATCGTATTGTATTATATTGTATTATTGTATTGTATTGTATTGTATTGTATTGTATTGTATTGTGTTGTATTATTGTATTGTATTGTATTGTATTGTATTATTGTATTGTATCGTATTGTATTGTATTATTGTATCGTATTGTATTGTATTATTGTATTGTATTGTATCATTGTATCGTATTGTATTGTATTGTATTATTGTATTGTATTGTATTGTATTATTGTATCGTATTGTATTGTATTGTATTGTATTGTATTGTATTATTGTATCGTATTGTATTGTATTGTATTGTATTGTATTGTATTGTATTGTATTATTGTATTGTATTGTATTGTATTGTATTATTGTATTGTATTGTATTGTATTGCATTATTGTATTGTATTGTATTATTGTATCGTATTGTATTGTATTGTATTGTATTGTATTGTATTGTATTGTATTGTATTATTGTATTGTATTGTGCTGGGCGCTGGCACATGCGGGGGATCGGATCACGCTTGGAGGTATTATTGTTCAGCTGCAGACTGCAGCAGCTGACTGAACAGGGAGGAGCTGTGAAAGTTTCTAACAGGCTGGTTCTTTTGCTGATGTTAACATTCTCACGGTTTCATCTTCGACCACGCGTAAACAAGCAAGTGCGAGCAGGAAAGCTTTTACGCGTTGACTTGGGGACATTTTGGAAACCATTATCAACGCGAGACGAATCAGTGTTTACTACAATGTCAAGCTGGAGGAATCACGTGCGCACAAGCCTGCAACAGAGAGACAGAAAAGAGAAAATCCCATACGCCGGCGTTTTCACGTGCTGTAAGATAAATGCTTTTTTTTAATGTATTAACATTTTGCAGTGGTGAAGTTTGAATGCACCAGGTAAAAGGTCTTGTCTGCTTTGCTTTCAGTGTCTCAGCTGGAGGAGCGTTATGAAATTCGCAAGCACATTTTGGACGATGTTCTGTGTAAGAGGTCAGACATGCTGAAATTCACTAAACGTGCACACTAGACATTGTATTTCTAAAAAAAAAAAAAAAAAACTTTACACTGGTTTTTAATTAACAGTTTAGGGCGAGGTGGTGTTGACGTGGGAAAAGACTCAAGGCTCCTTCAACTCCAACTGAGAGAGAGTGAACACATGCAAGAAAAGGTGGGTTAATAGGCTGCAGGACAAATCCTTGATAAACATTACAGTGTCAAGCTCCGACTTTTTGGAAGACAAAGGCTGTCATTGAATTAGAAGTAGCAGCACTTGCACAAACAACCTGATAATAAGTACATTTGTTGATACAGGGGTTTTCAAAGGTTGAGACTATTGGCTGTTCCTCAGACAGTTCTTGGAATTAGATGCCTCAAAGTTCACTTGATTGGTTTATACCCAGTTCTTGCATGCTCAAAGGATTATGATTATGTTATTTGAGGCTCTTAATTCTCAAAAATTGAACCAAAAAAGGCCTACTCGGTAATTTTTCCAGAACTTCAGTTGTACAAAACACCCAGAAAAGAAACGGTTTGTAGGCATTGGGAAGTTTTCAACTCATTTTCACAACAAAAACCTAAAACTTTAACAATATTTTTTCTCACTTCCATTCTTTGAGCCTCCCCTGATGTTTTTTTTTTTTTTTGGAGCTTATAATGAACACTCCTGTATTATTATAAAGCTTTAGGTCTCTGTTACCCTCTTAAGATATCAAAACTATTTGGCAGCATCTTGTGAGCTCCTCCCACTGTCCTCTATTCAAACACTTACCTTGTGTTTTCTTTTCTCCCCAGCTCTCTCAGACTGTCTCTGACCTGACCACCGTCCTGTATCTGAAAGAAGCTGAACTGCAGTACAGGCAGGCACGGTAATTTAAGTTAAAATATAGCCCTCTGAGTAATACTCTCTGCTTCATCCTACAAAGCTGGATATGAGCCTGAGGACGGAATCAACAACGTGTGAAAGACCTATTTATAAAAATAATCAGGGCTTTATTTATTTATTTAAAAAATACGAGTTGGCTGTATTTAAATGAAAACATCCACCCAATCCTGAGACATTTATGTTAGCCTGTATTTTTCATTATTTACCTGAAAAGCCATCACACAATATCAATGTATGTTATAAATTGTCTCAAATTGTAGTATCATAATATTGCAGCTCTGGGCTTATAAGAAACAAAATGACTCTTTATAGTGTGACGCACATCTAGTGTTGCAGTAGTTCTACCTTCTCAGATAATAAACAGAACATGAGTAGCTTGACACAGTCCAACATCTAACAGCAACATGTACTATCAACACACTTTTATACTTGACTTTTTTCAGCGTGTCCCTCTTCCGCCAAGAGGCTCTTTCTCTGGCTAGAAGAAGCAACACCCAAAGGGCGTCCCTTTCAGAATTAGAGCACACCCTAGAGTGCCAATCCAAAGAGTTGGCAGATCTGCATGAAGAGGTGAGAGGACTTAAAAAAGCGCTGGCAGAGGCGCGGAGAGAGAAAGAAGAACTCTTACAACGTTGGATGGTGGAGAAGAGGGTGGAGGCAGACCGACTGAATAAGTACAACGACACACAGGAGAGGTGAGAGAAGTGAAAGTGTGACTTACAACGCCAAGACACAACAATGTCCTCACAATTAAAGTTTCTGGTGATTAATGTGATTCACCAGGTGGCAACGTTTGGCAAAGCAGCTGAAGAAGCAACTCCGTATCGAAATTGGAAAGGAGTATGCTCCCATAGTGACGAACACTTGGAATGGTCAGTCAGAAATGCTTCCTACGGCCATTCACTGTAAGCATCTCTTCAAAATATGAATCCAGAATGCAGTCATTGAAAAAACAAAAAAAATAGCTGCTTCTTCATTTAACATTATTACTTCCCTTTAATGCTGCACCCACTGACCCTTGTGGGCATCAGTAGCCTTCAACAACACCATCCTTAATCCAAAAAGAGTTGTGTTTATGAGACAAAAGGTCTTCTGAATTGTTATTATAATCAACCAGGCACTGAATGCACTGATCATGGCCGATTTAGCCTTCATAAGAAAGAATTACCACGAGGCAGTTTATGCCCCCGACAGTCAGTGAAGTTACAATTTACATTCATCAGTGCAATTGTGAACAAATAAAAAGAAGTCTTTTCAGGCATTGCTGAAGGATTGTGTTCACAACATCCTTGACTTTTGACCCAGTGGTAACCTCCAGGCCTGAGAAATTAAGCTAAAGAAGAAATTTTAAAATGTGCAGCTACTCAAATATTTACTTCAGGAGTTTTTTGGACTCTAAAGCCAATTTATCTTTACACTATGAATTTAATCTAACATACCCCTCTAAAGTAATGCAGTAGAGGCTGCTTGAGCATCAGCTTGGATGTGTAAGCTGTTCAGACATCACCTCAGCTAATTCAGTCACTGAACTCAACCTCACAGCCTGTTTGTGTTGTTGGTTTCTTTGGGAGTTTTTTCATACATCAGAACATTCTGACAGGCTGATCAAAAACTCTGTGCTCCATTTTTTGTTAGCAATAATAAGCAGGGTGACAAGGTGTTTGTCTTGAAGTTGTTGTCGGATTTTCCTAACTGAGAAGTAGATCATAGTAATGAGTGGACCAGTTGCTTATGTTAATGTGTTTGAGCTGTCCACTTGATGCTCACTCTCACTAAGGAGCTGTGGGGAAAGAAGTAGGCTAGTTAGCTACATTTGTCACACTCGCTACTCCAAAAACAAAAAACAAAAAAAGCGACTTTGGTCAGCTACAGCCACTTCCAACATTAGTCCTGTGGGGAACACGGCGGTGAAGTAGCTCATTCACAAGCTAATGGGCCTTTAAACTTTAAAGGTCTGATTACTTGGTGTTTGCCTCTTGTCAAGTTATGGTCAGGTCTGGCTCGAAAATAAACATATTTACAAACACGACAAACTCAAACCTGAGAAAAGGCCTCTAATACTCCAGTGGTTAATCCTACGTCCAGTTTTATGCAGTGTGTGAGTTTGACCTTTGAAGAAATAAATATTGGTAATTCATCCTGAAGTTCAAGATGATTTTGTGCCAGATATTTGAGACTTGTTGCTACTGTATGCTACCATGTTTTTACTGATTCACTTACCTCACCTCACCTTACCTTACCTCACCTTACCCCCCCCTTACCTTACCTATGGATCCATTTCAGTAGTTCACTTTACAGCTTGTATAAGGTTTTAACCTCAGTATTTCTTAGATCTTGGCTAGTTCCTCTGTCAAAAACAAATGGAGACGCTCAAACTAGTATTTTTTTTTTTTAGAAGGAAAAAGATGTAACCCTTCAGCTGTGTGTACAATGAAACTTAAAACACATTGTTCACCCTTTTTGCATGCTCGTCTTGTCCTCAGGGATCAACAATACATCAGAGATCCGGCTGACACATTCAGACAGTGAGCACGTCTCAACTGTAACACAAGTCTGAAACTCCCTTGGGATTCTGGGAACGTCAGCTGTTAGCACAAGGATTACCTCTCGAACCGTTTTCTTGGTACTTGTAAGTAGAAGAACAACAAATTGCTCGATGAGATGACAGAATGATGACCAATATAGCAAACCTGTTAACTTGAAGTGTTGTAACAAATGTTTTTTTTTTTTTATTATCTTAACCTGATTTTTTTTTATGGATCTACCACTATATACTGTCTATGTATTGTTTACTTTACATGTCTAATTTTACACTTAGTGCTTGAACTGAATTTGAGCCTCCTTTGTCCCATGTACGGTCAATTACACTCCATCTTACTTACTCACTGGTCTTTGTCCTGATTGACAAAAAGCAAAAAAAAATTTTTTAATAATCCTTCCAAATGGTTTCTCTTTCCCGCTTATCACTTACATTTGACGAGTTGGTGTTTTTGTACAGTCAGGGATTTTGCGATTTTATTTTATTTTTTCAACTTTAATTGTTGTTTTGTGAAGAAACTTACATGAATAATCAGAATTTATGTTAAAATTATTGTAAAACACATTTTAAATCATCTTTGATAATTAACATGTCTTTTGAAAATGGAAAAAGCTATATGTCAGATGGATATATATGTTATTGTGTAGAATAGTATTGATGTTTTTCTGTGTTGCCCTGAAAAATAAAGTCCCTCATAAGCTAATTTTGTTTGAAAACACGTTTCCTTGTGGTCTTCTGCATTTAAGAATACAATACTAATGGGAATACATGAATTTAATGGCATTAATCGTTGGCTGTCATTTGATATGAAACAAAACGTGCATTTTTTGATTGATTTTGCTTTTGTTTGATTAGTGTTTGGAACTAAAACTATTTTTCTTTAACTTTAAGAATTCCAGTTCCTCACCTCCTAACCACATTGCGGTCACATTTGGAGTTGTTTTGTTTGTTGCACAGTTTCCATAGTGACCCTTGTTTCAGTTGTTAGGTTTTGACAGTGTGTGTTGTGTACTTGTGAAACAACTCGGTGAACTTCCCAAAGGTGTATCATTATGGTAAAAGGTGGAAAGCGATATTCTTCAATGAGCAATGATGGCAAATGGGTAAGATATACATTTTTCATAATCTCAGATTTTAAATATCACAGCGTTGAAATCTTGCAGAGTCATCAGCCTTTTTTTGGTTTTCATTTTCTTCTTAGTTTGCTCATCCAGCTCTACCAGAAAGTGGGCCAGAGAATCGTGAGACTTGTACAAGCACGGGGATCATGCTGAGTCAGGTCAAATCAGCTTTACCTCAGGCTTTGAACTTGGAGCGCTTTCCTAAATGGAAAACTCAGCAGGTGAGTATGCACAGTAGATAATCCAGTGTTTGGAATTACCTTTATTTCACTGTGTAGTCATGATCCAGGGCTGTGATATCGAATTTAACGTCTAATCAAAGCACTACTTGTAAGTGCATTGTCTCTCACACCACTGTCTTTAGCAGTATCAGACTGTACTGTCTCACAATATGAGTTTCTTTACAGGATTTAAGAGAGTTTCCACACTCAGACCATGACAACAAGCATGCATTAAAAGACGACATCTCTGTTTTCAATCAAGTGAGTATGTAAACATATTCAGTGCTTTATTAAATCAGATCAATCACCACATCTTGAACAAAATAATTACTTGTCCATGTTGTCTTGGTATATTCCAGGGTGTGGGACGCAGGAAGTGTCCTTACAATGAAAGACAGTACAACTCCCACTTCTGCCTGTGCCATGATGGAGGTGACCGCAGCACTGAAGAGACTTGGAGGAACACCAATACTGTCTACAAGACTGACTTTTTGTTGGAGCAGGCGGATAATGGTCCAACAACCTACAGAAGGTTCCCAAGAAACCACAAGCAGAAGTCTTTGGCACAGGCAGGGGAACAGTACATGTGGTTCGGGAGGCATGACTGTCGTCCCACAGAGACCCATTGAGTGCTGGGAGAGGCCACCTGCGGAGCACCTTTTAAGCTTTAAGATACTCCTTCATTCACAACCTTTTAGATGGATTTGTTAGGACGGCTAACCACATTCTTTGGGAAATAAAAAACTGAATTGGAAACATCTGTTAGAATTTTGTCTAGTTTTGAGAGGAGTATCCAGACAGGAACAATAGACTAATTCATCCATATTAAATTTGAAAATCTTATTTTATTAGGCTATTATGATTTGTTATTTTGCCACAGAAAAGAACACAATAGGATGCAATTTTGAGACTTAGGTAAGCAGTATAAGTCTATTATTCAAACTTAAGAAAACCCCCTTAGAGCCTTATATCCTACAATGTGTACAAGTTCAAAAGTCAATCAAAGAGCATTAATACTGTATTAAATAAATAGGCTACGTGTGATGTAAATCCACACTAAGTGCAATTGTAAAGTTGTAGCATTCATGGGTTCTTGAATAAACTTAAAGACTACATGAACATTGATTAAGTAGCCTGCTGCACTTCTGAAAACTGTAATATTAGAAATGAAAATGTGTGAAAAAGGGTCAAGCCCATCTTGCCAGGCAAACACAATTCGTCCCAACTTATTTTCAAAACCTGTTACCTGCACTTCCCATAATGCAACACGACTGGGTAAAGTTCAGATGGATACTGATGCTAGTGGCTGAAATACTAGTAGTTGTGATGCTAGTTTGGCAAATTGAGAAGAAGTGCGGAACACAAAAGTCAGGTAGGATTACTTCTGACTAAATTATTGCCAAAAGTGTCATTTTCAAACTTCTTGTGTTAAGAACCAAACTACAAGGACTAAAGTGACATACGACAACTAATTGTAACTGAAAGGACTTGAAATAGATTTAGGAAAGGTGTTTTTACACCCAAAAAACTAAGTGCTCCTAAGATGGGCTAATGAGTAATAATAATACTGACTGTCTGTACTGTAGTGTAGGGAATTTTGAATTTGAATGTTTGAACATTCAAAATTAAATGTTTTAAGCACATTAACAATGAGTGCAATAAAGTCGTTAGTTACATATAAGAGGCATTTTTACAAGGGAAGTCTACACAGGGTCGGATATTTTTAGGTTGTGAAAATATCCCAAATAAAATGGTCGATAATAGAATCATCAAAAATGCAATACTTGAATTTATGTCAAACGCTTATGAGCCCTGTTGGGACTACAGTAGTTCATAGGTTTTTTCCAGCAGAGGGCAGCAGGTCTGCATGAGTTAGAAGTCAGCTAAGGATACAGTGAGTTACACAACAGCCAAGTTGTGTGAGAAATAAAAAAAAAAAGAATATAATAATATAATAATATCAGTTTGTTATGCGCATGTTTAGACCAAAAAAAAAGGGTGAAATAATTAGAAAATGAATTAATCTATTTTTATGAAGTGCATATCAACACCAACATTAAACTAGAGCATGATAAATAAATTAAGCAAAATCTGAGTCAGAGCATGGGAATTTGTTTTACTCCTGGGGATGAAAGGGATAGATGTGTGTGTGTGTGTGTGTGTGTGTGTGTGTGTGTGTGTGTGTGTGTGTGTGTGTGTGTGTGTGTGTGTGTGTGTGTGTGTGTGTGTGTGTGTGTGTGCGTGTGTGTGTGTGTATGTTGTGTGTGCTGTCTGTACAAGAGAAGGAAGAAAGCGTGGGAGCGAATCATAGAGAACACTGCTCAAAGAAAAGGCACTTAGGAGAGGAGTATCCCCAACCACTCTCTCCAATAGCTGACGATTTCTCAAGAGAATGTTCTGACCAGCTGCTTTCTTCCTTTAAGTACCCACTGGAGAGATTTTTTTTCTTCTCATAAGCTTTACTTCCAGCTGAAGTAATTAGCTGATCCACATACAGCACTAACCCTGTAGGAGTTTGCTTCACTTTTAAAAGGTGATGTACATCTCACCGTTTTTTTTTTAATTTTTTTATATGGCAAGATGAGAAAGCTGTGAGACACGCATCTGGAGCGGCTGCCCTTTGTGATTTCACTTGTCTCACACATTGCTGCCTGCAGGTGCACGGCTGACCCCAGGCTGCAGAGGGGAGGGCGTTTGTAACAACAACCATAGCTTTGATTTGTTTGTTTTTAACCCTGTCTTTGCCTGGTCATTGAAAAAGAAGCTTTATTGATAAAAAATGTTGTTGTTTTTATGCGTTTTTCTACCAAAATGAACCCAAAACACATTTTAGAGAGGTGCATGGGTGTTGACGAGTGGAACAGTGGTTTTCATTAGCGGAAAAACACCTCTGATTGTGTTTGACAGTTGGTTCTGTCCGGTCTGGACTGTTCGTCTGCCACCTCTGTCCCTGTGGATGCAGTTTGCAGGGCTGTCTTTAAGACTTGACTCAACTTGAAATGTTCCTCTGCAACAACACTTCACTTCACAGCGACTCCAGTTAGATCGGATGCAGCTTTTGATATTTGACATAATATTGCATCAATCATCCCCCAGTTTGTGTGTGCGTACTTTATGTGCCATGTGAAGCGAGATACCTATGTTATATCATGTGGGGGTAAAACCACAAGCATATGTAAATGGGGTCACTTGGTGGAATATCAAACCTTCTCCCAAGGACAAAAGACACATCTCAGTAAACAAGCGTTCAACCACCAAAGCCCTGCACTTCATGAATATTAAATCAGACACTTTGAATCCTACCTCTTTGGTGTTAGGGGGCCTCAGTCTGGATTCTTACCGTTTCCTGTGATTTATTCGCAGGTGCACATGTCCTTTGATGTGTTATGTTGAGAGGTTTTTTGCACCTGTTAGAGGGGGAAAAAATGCTTTGAAAACAAGAGGTGGATTTGCCAGACAGTCTAAATGACAGCAACAGAAGGAAGATTTGTGTTGCCGTACGACATTGAATTTACCTGGTTTCGTGTGCGTTCGTGTGTTCTCCTTTCAAAGGGCTGCTGTGTTTTTATGACACACTCTGTTGTGTGAACACAAAAACACCCTTTAGTCAAACCAAATCAACCAGTTCTTCCCCCCCCCATCATGTCAGTTTTTTTAGCATTTGTTCTGATGTTATGAAGTTGTGCATCTTGCAATTTGTCCATTACCTATTCATTAAAGATGTGACTTGAAAAGAGAGTTGCCATGGTGACGCTTTAGCTAAAATATACATCTGAGCATTTTTTTCTTTCTGATTTTTTCTTTTGACAATTAAAACTGAATCCCTCGTTTCTGTTTTTCTCTCTTCTTAAATGCTTTCTCGTACTGTGTCAAGGCTCCCAGCATGACTTTTTTCACTCTTGAGTATTTTTGTTAAGTTAACATCTTCTGCATCCAAATAACAACTGTGGGTGTCCAATACTGCCTTGAAGGCGTACCTGGGTTAAAACTACCCAACTGTGAGACCCCTCCAAATCTCCTGTCAGTCATACTGTACTTCTAATTCCCTGAAAGTCTCTCTTCTTTCGGGCAGCCAGTTGGTTCATGTCCCCTGGCAGCCGAGTGGTCCTTGTTCCAGTAATGGTCAGGGCCCCTCCAGAGTCTGAGCGTGGTGATAAAGGTGGCTGGCTATCTCATTTCCACAGAGGACAAGATAACATCCTGAGAACATTCCCCATCACTTGAGGAGTTTGTTCAGAGGAGATAAGAGCTCCCAAAGCTCAGCTACACGGAGCTCTTTTTTTTTGGGGGGGGGGGGGGGGGTTGTAGTTGGGTGTCTTTTCACAGCACATGTGTGTTGAAATGGAGTCCTGCTGATGTCTGCGTGCTTCATTATGTCAGCCTGGCATCATGGTATTGAGAGTGCAGGATACTGCAGAAACACTGCCTCAGAAGATCAGACCCACTAAATCACATTCCTCCCAGTGTTTTTCAAACCTCCGACACAGTTTGCATGCTAATTTGTGTGTAGGTGGTGAGTATAATTACATTAGGCTGGTTCTAAACAAAGACCTACAAGCAGCAGTCTGTTCAAGTATCCCACCCGAGAGAACCACAAAATAGTTTGAACAAGGAGGGATAGATTTATCATGCATAGTTACCAAAAAGATAATTGTGTTCCAGACTGTGTTAGTTCACAAGCAAAGCTATTATAGATGTGATTAAATGGCTTAAAAATGTATTCGTTTCTGGTATTACATATTTGCTTAATGTCATTTTTACTCCGGTTTTATTTCCTTACATTGTGTTTTTGTGTGTGTGTGCACTTTCAAAAGAGCAACAATTAGTTTGTGAACAAACAAGAACGGACACTTCAAGTCTCCTATCGGCAACACACTTTCTTAGTTCAGCTCTCAGACTGTGGCTCGGTTTGGCTTGCCACATTTGCACATGATTACCAGACATTTCATCACTACTTAAGCAGCTCCACCTCTTTAGTTTCATGTAGCCTCATCCTTCATAACCGGAGCTTTGCAGCATCTTAATCTAATTAGTTAAAAGAGATCAATCTATTCTGATTTATGCATCAGGAGTTGGACCACACATCCAATAGAATTCCTTCTTTCCGCACTTTTTAACTTGACCTGAAGGAGGTTGTTATTTCTGGAGGAGGCTGATGCAAAAATATGCCTACAAGTGAAGTTAGTTGCATTTGACTTGGCCCCCTAATTGGAAAAGACAAATGCAGCTAAAACAAAGTGACACTTTTGCTTAATTTGATTTCCCTCTGTTTGTATGCTCTGTGCCCACACAGTGGAGAGAGTAGAGATAGCTCTTGTTTTGAGATGTAACGGCAGAACTTCCTGATTTCAGCTCCATTACCGTGTACAGCTTTTGTTGTTGTCAGCCTTGAAAACTGCACATCTGCAATAAAAACTCTCTTTTTTTTTTGGTATTTCCCAGCTACAGGGGGAAGCAAAAACATCCAGGGACCTCACAACAAGTCTAATTAACTGTTTTCACACTTATTCTCCAGTCAAAGGGGGTAAATCTGCCTCATTTGCATTCTATTGGAGGCACAAATACAAGCCAGTGAATGTTTTTTTTTAAAAAGCTGCTATGGATGTGTCACAGCCCTTTATGTGCTGGAGTATAATTAGATGCGAGAGTGGTCAGAGTGGTATTATTGTGTGGCTTTTGTTTGGACCATAATATGCAGTTTCAAATGCAAAGTTGAAAGAAATTCTGCTGCTGTACTGTAGGCACCGAGTGGAGGAGGTACATGCAGTACAACAGAAAACACTGTTAACAGTCTGACATTATTATCAAATGTAAATTACACTCCCAAGAGCTGCTCATTACAATATCCCACATGTACTGTGTGTCGTAACTTGTTAAATTCTCAATTTAACTGGATCGCAGTTT